CAAGGCAGATCTGTGGCCAGTGAACATTGTGAAATGCTGCTCTGCAGTTACTCATAACTTGTGCATGTTTGAGCGAGGCCAGAGCTGAGCTGAGTCACGTTGTAAGATTCCTCCTGAGGGTCTGAGCCTCACACACAGCCAGGATGAGGCTGGATTCTGTTTGCTTACCTTGGGGCTGGTGTAGCCAGGGGGAGATAGCAGCTGGGTTACGCAGCTCTGGGGGAGTGTTAGCACTTCTTGCTAGTTGGGTTTAGTTTTTAAGCAAAGTATTTGTCAATTTCTTACGCATTTCAGTCCCTGTGTTTCTGTAAGTACTGTTCTAGTAGCTGCTGCTTCCTCCTCTGTGTGCTTTCTGCTCATTAACGTAATAGATTTGAGGGCCAGAAGGGACGATTCACTCATTAATCTGGTCTTGTGTAACAGAGGAGTATAGTTTAACCTAATGTAGTGCACCTTCAGACAATGAGGGTTTCCAGCAGTTCAGCCTTTACAGCACTGGAGTCCTAATGCCAATCCTTGAACTTCTCAGCCCACGTTTTGTGTGTTATGGACACCAGTTGTGAGATGTGAATTCCCAGGTGTTTGCAAGCTTATTATTTGGTGCCACAGGCTGTGCTGGAGACACTTCTGTATTCATGCTTGGCTGGAAGGGCTCTTGTGCCTCAAGCACAGAGGAGAGGTGGAAAGCTGGGATCTGCTGCAAGCCACCACCCCAACCATCCTGGTTGGTAAGATTCAGTCAAAGAAGAGATAAAGAATGCTCAGCACCCTGGCCATGTAAGTGGGCCGGGATGATTTCCCTGCTCTCCCTGGTGAGGTGTAGCTATGGAATTGGGGGTGGCACCAGCTGCACACCCTGCACAGTCACATGCTGCAGGGGCCTGCAAGGCTGCCCCATGACTCCGGGATGATTTATGTGTTTTCCATGATCCTCCTTTTCGGATGCAGTTGCCAAGCCTGCACAGCGCTGTTCAGCTGGGAGGAGGCTAATACACTCAGTGCATCTGCCTCCAGACTTTACACACTGCGAGAAGCTTTCACAAATGAAAGGACTTTTGTTGTCTGCCTGCCTTGGAAATACTCTCCAAGATCCAGGTTATGGAGCTCTTTCCCAGGCTGCTGAAGCAGCAGGATCTGCTTCTTTCACATTCTCCTGTAGTGAATTTGGTTACACTCATCGCAGTTATTTTTTCTTCTTTGATTTTTTTATAACTGATTTGTGATTGTGTGCTTCTTAATCAGTTTTGCCAAAGTCTTTTTGACTCGCTCAGTCGTTAGACTGCAGTAGGAAAGGCATCTGGAATTAATGCATGTCCCAGATAAGGGATTGTGCTGCTTTTACAGCAACTGGTTTGGGTGCTGTTTTCTTTGTATCCCCTGTAACATTACCTGAGGTTTGTAAAATGAACCCTAGTGTTTGCCTGTCTTTTAGCTACTTGCAAGACTCCGCAGTGTGTTTCCTGTGCTCCATTTCCATTGCTATGGCTTCCTGCTGGAAGGCTTCCACCAGTGAAAGGCCATTCGTTCCGGTGTGTGAACCTCAGATCTCCAAGTTCTCATGGTGCTGTTCCCTACTCAGCTTGCAGCAGAGACCCCACCAAGGTTACTCTGCTCAGGGCCCACGGGGGCTATTGGTTCCTGTTAGCTGAGGGGTTTGGACTGCAGAGCCAGAGCTCTAGGAGGAGATCAGCACAGCAAGTGTGAGATCCGAAGGACCAGAAAAGCCCGTGATGCTTTTGCAGGCCATGAGTTATGTTCCCCCTCCTCACAGCTCTCATTTCATAAAGCACTCCTGACAAATGAGAGGTGAGGGAGCAAACAAGGCCAGTCACACTAAGACCAAGGTGGCTGATCTGTGCACCAGTGCATGCATCTTGGTGGTGTGGCTGTCATTAAATATTACACTATTTATAGTCTACACTGTTAATAATTCACAAGCTCCTGCTTGTTTTGAGAAGCCTCCTTGGGATGGAGAAAGTTCAGCAAGAGTTTGTGGAGGAACAAGTGAAGGTGAAAGGAAAAAGCAGAATGGAAGGAAGAGAAAGCAAAGAAAGTTGAAGAGGAAAAGGGACTGCAGTGAAGAGAATGGTGAGAAGTTAGAGGAGAAAACACCATCAGAGTCCCCAGACGGGTTAGCTGCTGCTATTGCCCCAGTGCACACTGGAAAACTGCTACTTCTCTGTCCCCTTCTCCCCCGTTGTTCTGTAGCTTTTACTCCCTGTGGCTTATTGTGGAAATTAGAATTAGTTTTCTGCAGGGGGCCATAAATTGATGCATGTCTGGTACCTGAGGGGTTAATCTGCAAAGGTCTGCTAGAGGAGTACACTGTGGAGCAGTTGCACAGATGGAATAGCAGAGATAGACCACAGTCATTCGCATTCTTTTGGTCTCTTTGGGATTTTATAACTCTTGGACCACATCTTTGGGTATAATAAACAGAGCAGATGGCTTTGTGTGTGTCTCTGTGGTGAATTCAGCCCTTCGTGATGAGTCGCTGCGCTGGAATAAGGGAGACGGAAGTTGGAGGTTATTCCTTTCAGGTTCAAACCCATCCCTCTTTGTAAGCTCACCAGGGTGCCCTGCAAGGGAGCTGCTTCCAGGAACATCTGTGCTCAGTTTACCCACTGAAGCTGCAGGAGCTGTTATCTCCGATGGCTGAAGGTCATGCTGAGGGTTTTGGACTTGAACTGTCCTAGATGAGGATAACAGAAAAGGGTCCCTGTGATGCAGAGAAAGGTGCTCAGCCTTGCTCAGGGCCACCGTGCCCACAGCCTGCTTTATGTCAGTGTAATCTCAGTGACTGACCTCTACCACAGCTATTCCACTTCTCCTGTGAAAAATCCTTTCCAAACCGTACTGTTTCTGTGTGTTCCTCTTTAGCCTGGGTTTGCCCAGCTGCCAGTCACTTGCATTATCCGGAGCTCAGGCTCCTTGCTAGAGGAGCACAGTGCCCCACGGGCATCAGGACTCAGGCTGTGGCGTTCCCTGGGTTTGGAATGACGCTCCTGTCCACTGTGCACTGAGAAACATTACTGAGCTGATTGGCGTTCCTCTGGCTCCAGAGGAACATAGGATGTAGTCAGCAATCAACTGCTGACCGTGTTTACAGTAGGAAGAATAGGTTTTGCTTTTCATGAAACCTGTGTTTGGCACTGGGCGAGCAGGATTACACAGAAGGAAAATCAGTTGCATGCAGGGTGTCACTGTAACCTTCAATACATTGTCTGTAAGTGCAATTTCTAGAAGAGCAAGTTGAGTTTAATAGGAACAGTGAAAGGCACAGACCACCTCCAGTCTGTAAAGCAGATCAATAAAATCAGAAGGACAGAAAAAACTGGCATGTTGGGGAATTACAGGGTTGGGTCTGACAGCTTCTGCCTGGAAACAGAGGAGCTGCATTCCTGCTGCGGCGGGGTTGGGAAAGAGCAGGTTGCTTGTAGATAAAGAGTGTTTGCTCACGGATCAGAGATGGGCTGGAGGTGATGTGGAACTGCGCTTGGAATACTTGGGTGGCTCATATCCAGGCCTGTTGCTACAGGGAATGTGTGCAGAGTGCAACAGAGAAGAGTTTGAGGCAAATGGAGGATTAACATTTTAAGGCTCACAGTGTCTTTGCTGGATAATGTTAACATTGTTTTACAGATGGATACGCAAATTCAGACTGAAGATCAAGGATTTACCACAGTTGGTATGGAACAGCCTAAACAGCTAAAACTCCTCCAGAGCAAACAGCCAGCACTTCAACCTAGGTACTACCTGTTATCCCTCCTGAGGCTGATGCAGGAGCTTCACATGGGTGCTGAGTTTCGTGGGTCCTGGATACTTTCAGCAGCTCTCCTGAGCTGTGCTTCACTTCAGGCTAGAATCAGTGTTAGGGCACACTGCTGGAGCCTGCCCTGCCTCTCCCAATGCAGATATCATGTGGGAATGGCAAGAAAAGCAGTCCGTTCAGCACCCTCACACATGTGCAGAAAAGCAGCCCCTGCAAGAGGAGAGGACTCGGGATGGGTGTCTTGTCCTGCAGTTGGTGTGATGGGGCTGATGCAGGTGTAATGCTGCTGCAGGGAGTAACGCTGCATCATCATCTGATGGTGCTTGTCAGGCACAGCCATAGACATGGCAACAGTCCTGGTCTCATCCCAGTGACAGTCCAGGCCTCCAGCTTTCTTCCGGTGACTTAAACTCCTGCCCTTTCTATGAGATCACCCAGGAGAGAAGCCAGAAAGTGCCAGTCAGTGCTGAAGTCACAAGGTCTCTCTGGTCTTTCTCTCCTGTGAATCCTCTTCTTTTTGACCCCTGTTATACAGTAAATGAGTAAGGAAACAGAATGGTGGGGAGAGGCAGTGATAACCTTGAATTATCCTTTGGGGCTGAGCTGATTAGTCATCCAGAACAATTAAAATGCTGCTTTATAGTATTATGAGTAAGAACCTCTGGAGATGCTGTGGGAAAGGCACTGCTTGCAAGGGGAAGAAAAAAGTAGATGCACAAAATGATCTCATTCCTCTGCAATTTTTAGAACATAAACCCAGTGAGTGGGAGTGATTGTGAGCAAACAAACTCCAACGAGGACTCAACAAGGAGCTTGTTTACACCTCTGGGGCCAAACGGCAAACACTGACTGTGTCTTTATCCGTTTCCAGTGCATGGCACAAGTCTCCTGTTCCATTAAGTTCCTTTAGAGTATCTGAGCTCTTGTGACATCTTTATAATGCCTCAGATCAGGTATCAGGGATTAAAATCTTGCTGTTTTGCATCCAAGTGAGATTTCTACTGGAATAGAAATACTTGCATTTAGAAACTGATTGTGTGCTACAATTGTAATTATCATATTGTTGATTAGACTTTCCGGGATGAAGGTTCCGGTGTGAATATTGTGTGTGGAATCTCTGCTTTCTCTGAAGTATAACCCCTTATTCTGTGATCACTGTTAACCTCAGATCTGTTGTATTTAACAGCTCCTATTGCAGTCAGAATACAAAGGGAAATCCACGGCTTAAATCTTTAAGGGGAAGCTTCTTCACATATTGAAATCCACTCCGCACATGTCAGGTAAGTCAGTAAGAGACAAGTCATGGGAAGAATACAAAGCCACCGCTCATTTGTCAAACAAAAAAGGAATACAGGCCACTTCCTTCTCTGGTTAGTTCGGAATTCAGGGATTTGAGTGGCCTCTAATGCCCTCTAATGGACAAATCTATTGGAGCACGGTCCTCTCGGGGTGAATGAAACCATCCAGGACTCGTAGCGCTGCCAGGAGCCTGCCCAGCTTTCCCTGGGAGCCTGCCAGCTCCCAGATTAAACCCATGTTTAAGGGTTTGGAGCTGAGAAATATTAAGTCACCTCTTACCCAAAACTTGGCAGCTCTTTCCGTCCCTCCCTTCCTTCCGCATCGGCCCAGGTTTGTTTATTTGGCTTCACTTAAGAAAGGTGGGAAAATGGTTTTTGTCCCTGATCCCAGATTTGGCGCAATCCTTCCAGGATGAAATTGCCTCTGTAAATGGTGGGGGGTTTCTGGAGCAAAGCTGATACATAGAAATCAAAAAGTGTCACTTGGTGTATTTGAGACCCTTCTGGAGTGTTTGACAAATGTGGTGAGAATGAGAAATGGGATGGGAAGAATGCAGAGGAGAAATAGCAGTATGAAACACAGACTGCTGGGAGCAGGAGGAAAAAGAGGTAGGCTAATAAATAAGTAATCTGAGTTGAGAATACATGGCAGAGAAAAGCAAAAGGTACAGATGTGGGAGGAGAAAAATCCATATTGTCAGGGACTTTCCTCTTACATGTGACTCCTACCACCAGTGCCACTCTTGACAGCCACAGTGGGACATTTTTAGTGAGGAAAACCCACTGGCATTCCCACAAAGCCTGACAAGACTCTGTGGATGCCTTAGGCTGTAATTTCTCATTTTGGTTTGCACATAAGCTTAAGGAAGTGCATTAAGAAGCTCTTGCCAAAGTGTCTTAAAATAATCCACCAGCATAACCAAGAGGCACGAGATTGTCAAGAGCTGCCAAATAAATGGTTCCACAGCTCAGGAGTTATCTGGGGCTGGGGAACTTGGTGTGATTTACCTTCAGATAATACCTAACCAGCAGTTACAGACTGGTATGTGTCTGCCAGCTGGGGACAGAACCGTCTGTGTGTTCATGTGGCCAACAGATGGGATCTAGCACAGCAGTTAACAGAGACACTGGTTTTTCCTAGGCCAGCAGATCCCTTCTGCGATAGTGGGTCTCAGGCACTTTATATCTAGCCTAGGGAGAAGAGGAAGCAGTTAAAAGGAAGCAGAGAGCTTTGGGAAAGAATCATCTTGACCAAATACTGGCTGGAATTTTCCAGAGAGGTTTTGAGGAAACACTATGAGGATTTCCAGCATCACCATTCAACCTCTGAAGCTGTCCACTGTCTAAAATCTGGGAATACCACAGCAAGCTTGTTTGCTTTTAGGGAACAGATTTGCTTTGGGAAAAACACTAGGAGAAACAGGAAGAAGCACTGTTTGTTGTGTTTAGTAAGTTTTGAAGGGAAAAAATAGCCTTTTTCTACCTAAGTCAGGAGCTCCCAGTTGCTTTTCTCTCTGACTAGCCTTGGTTTCTTTCTTGGTTTCAGGACATGTTTTCAGAAGCCTATCAGTAAGCTGAAGCTCTTTCCTGCCCCTGCATGGATTATTATTGTTTAGATTTTGGCAGAACGTAGAGATCCCCATGAAGATTGTGGCTGTACTGCCTTAAGTGGATATTATTCCTGCTGGATTGCTATGGGATACTTAAGGATCAAGTATATAAAGAGCTGGAAAAGGAGACTGGGCATGTTGATAGAGGAGCACACCACTGGTGTTCTGTGTTCATTCCCTCTTGCACTCTATGTGACAAAGCCTTTTCTGTCAGCCCAAACAGGTTCTGGATGTGAACCAGAGGGACTCAGAGCCATCCCTGTCCCCAGATGCCTGCACACCTCCTGGGGGAGCACAACCAGTGGGGCTGGAAGTCCTGGAGAACAGATCCCTACCCTCATCCTGTTTTCTGGAGTCCAAGTAACCATTTACATTTGCAAGGGGAGAATAACAAATGGTGTGGGGATGCAATGTGCCTGTTTGCTTGGCTTTTGGTGGAGCCTTTCCTTGTGCTCAGACAAACACAATGGGAAAGGCGTCAGGGAGCAGCTTTACTTACATTCTGATCCAGAAGAGATGTCTGTAATTAAGTACACATATACATGTATCATGTAGGTTTGACTCTGATATGAGTATACATAGCCAATACATTAGGGGACTTTTCTAGACCAAAAGACAGTATTTGTTTTAAAATCCTTTATGAAATGTATTAATGCTGACCATTATAGAGCACTCTGCTGCAGAGTGATCAATGGCCTTCACACCACAGCTAGTTACAGCAAATGGATCATACAAAATCCAGGGCACTTAACAGCCCAGTATTGGTCTCTGCAATTTATATAAATCAGAATGCCCTCTGCATTTCCTGAATGACAAGACCACAAGTACAGACAGAAATTACAATTTATTATTCAAGCAATTGTTTTTTTCTTAAATGAAGTATTTGCAATTGATTTTCATCTTTCTGTAGGACAACTGCTTCTTCAAATACTTGCTGTGAGCCACACTCCTGAGTTTATTGCTAAAATGCAGTGGTACGGTTCATATTGTAAATCCATTGTTTGCTGTTTACAGAGAAAGTTTCATCAAAACCAGGATTTATTTATGTTGCTGTTGCTGGTAATAATTCATATGTGCTACGACAGTGGCAAGAGTCTGAGCGGAACCAAGGCCCCGCTGAATGGAGCTGTAGCGAGTGAGTCCCTTTTACTCTCCAGCTCTTCCCTATGTTTGGCCGTTTGGGAGGTTTTACCTCAAGTTACATCTTCATTGACACCGCCAGGACCTTCACCTGGCTCTGCACTAAAGGACGTTACCTTCTGCTCTGCAGAAACAGACCAGTTTATAGGGATAAAACCCTTTATAGCGACCGTAACCGTTAACATTGACCCGCAGCTCTCGCCCCTGCGTGCCTCGGCCCCGCCCCTCCTGCCCTCGGCCCCTCCCTCTCCAAGTCCCGCCCACACCGCGGGCTTCGCTCGCGCCGCTGCCCCTCGAGCGGCGCAGGCGCGGGGCGGGGCGGGCCTGCCCGGGGGCGGGGACGCGCAGGCGCAGCACGGCCCCGCCCGGCCGCCGCGCAGGCGCAGTGGGTTCCCCGCCGCCGGCTGGGTCTCGGCGCTCCCCCTGGCGCGGCGGCCGCGGCGCTGCTGCTCGGGCGGGCGGGGGCGGCCTTGGGCTCCCGCTTCCGGTGTGGTGTCATGGCGGGCCCCGGGCGCTGATGGCTGAGGGGAGCTGAGGGCCCCGCAGCGCGCCAGGGATAACGGAGACCCGCCCGTGCCCTCCCCGCGCCCGGCGCCTCTCCTGCCGCCCTCCCCGCGGGGATCCGCCCCCCTCCCTGGCCGGGCAGGCGGGGGGACATGGCGGCCCACAAGCCGGTGGAGTGGGTGCAGGCCGTGGTGAACCGCTTCGATGAGCAGGTAGCGCGGGCGGCCGTGAGGAGGAGAGAGAACGGGAGGGCCGCCGCTGGAGGCGCGGGGCTGCTGCGGGCCGGAGGCGCGGGGATGGGGCGAGGAGCGGGGGTGGCTGCCCCGCGGCCCGGGGCGCAGGCGGCGCTGAGAGCGCTGCCTCCCGCCGAGCCCCCGCCGCAGGGCTCCGGGCCGAGCCGGGGGACCCAGGGAGCCGCCCCCGCCGCTGCGCCCATTGTGCGGGGCCGGAGGCTGGGTGGGGCCGGTCGGTCCATCCCTTCCAGCACACCCGGGGCTCTCCGCGCTCCTTCGGGAGTGGACCTGGGCTCGGAGGCGAGCGGCTCCCCTGCGCCAGCCTGCTCGCGGTGCAGTGTGTCAGCGGGACTGTGCCGGGGTGAGGTGCCCGGGTCCTCGTCGCCTCTGCTCCCCTGCGCTTCCAGAAGTGTTTGCTTTTCATAGACATTCCTGGGAAATCTGCTTACTTGCTTTCACACCATCTTTCTCGCTATAAAGGCAGTAAAGCCTCCAGAACGAGTTTAAGGAGGGCTCTGTGGAACTGCTGAGGCCATTCTGCCTGGTTGCCTGTAGTGTAACCGTGGGTGTTGGTGTGCGATTTCACCCACATCACCGGGAGCACAGGCGTGTGGGGTGAAGAGTGTTTTCTAACCAGTACTGTTACAGTGACAGGCATTTGCTGCTCTTTACAACAGCCGGTGCTCGTAGTTGGCAGAAGGATTTTCTGAATGGAAGGATGAGGGATTTGTTGGCCTTTGTGTTTCTTTGATCCACATGCAGAAACTGCTTACTGGGATTAGGTGGCATGACTTCCTCAGGGAGGCTAAGCTCAGTGCTTGGACTCTGCATTTCTGCTCCCAGGATGCTCTCCTGACATGAGGCGTGAGCTTGGTTTGGGCTGAATGATCAGCTTCTGGGTTGCCTCCTTTTGCTGCACTGTGAGTACAGCCGTTGTGCCACACAAGGCAGCTCTGTGAGCTCGTGTCACGTCTGTCAGAACCATTAAGCTGGATTTATAGATTGAGTTTTGTTCACCTGCCTCGTAGCCTCGTGTCCCCCTTGGTGATGTTTGGCTCTTGACAGCTCGCAGGAGGACTGGCCTGGTTGGATAAAAATAAGCTCTTCCTTTTTACATTTATATTAAAGCTGCTGTAAACTGAGTTTATTTAGTAAAGGAAAACATCAAACTTTGTCTTTTGACATTAAAAGGATGCAGATTTTCCCAATATATTTTAGGCATATTTGCATAGTTAACTTATTCCCCCCCTTATCTTGAGTCATAGATCATTTTTTCCATAAGCCTAAAAAACATGGTACTGATTATGCTACCAGTAACACAAGAAAATGTTTCTTTGTGTACTGGTGTTAAAAGGCCCAAGGCTCTGTCGATTGCTTTGTTATGTATATGGTGGAATTGGGCTTGCCAACATCTGTTAGGAGTTAAGAACTTCAGCTTTGAAACAGAATTATTTCCCTATATGTTTTATGGGATAATTGCAGATAGGTGAATGGGAGGGATCCTCTCTTGGTAGGGAGAAAGCTGGGCTGAGTTTTGAGATGCTGAAGTACTGGATAATACACACCAAATAGTGTTGACTGTGGTAGTCATAGTACAGCTGGTGCTGTAGGGGCTATTTACACAATTTTGATCAGTTTATTGCATATTTTTGTGGAACCAGTGCACTTTTAAGGGAATACTGCACCATCAAGCAGTGAATTGAGGATGAGGCGCTAATCACGACTTCCTTGTGAGGAGTTTTCTCTCTCATTCATTAATTTCAACTCAGGGTCCTTAATTGTGTGTGTTTGCTTTTAATACATTGTTTCTTCTGCCCTGCCTGGGCTGCCAGTGATCATCACGGAAGAAAGGTGCCTGTTCTTAGCTGAATACCCAAATGCCAGGTTACAGTGACACCATTGCTACTACTGGATGTGCTGCCAACCAGTGGTGATATTTACATGCTGTTGTAACTCCTTACATCTGTGTCATTACTGGGTAGTTGTGTGGTCATTAAGTTTTCTACTTGCTACATTTTACACTGCTCAGTTGAGCATCAAGTTCATAGTCCATGAAATATATTGAATATATGCACATTATTTTAGTGGTGATGATGCAGTTTTGAGTCTGCATGCAACGTCTGCTTTTCTAAATGCAGGACCTCTTGATTCAGCACTGAGGGAAGCACTACTAATTGTATCATAGGTATGTTAGAATGAGGAAAGGCAGCTCCTCTTTGTTGTGGCTTGTTTAGTTTTGTTTTGTTTGGGTTTTTCTTTCTGCTTGGGAGAACACCAAGCTTTTCAAGGTTCCTTCCTTCCTTTACAAAGGAGGGAAATGTTACCATCTTTCACCAAAATTTATAGATGTAGACAGGCTTCCCATTCATTTGCTAAGGGCTTGAATTCATTTTAAGACAGATGAAACAACAAACTGAGAGAATGCTAATCTGTATTGAAAACCAGAAAAATCAGTGCAATCCGGCCTGCTCTTGTCTGCTCTTGTTTATTGTTAGAAATGCTGCTTTAACCCAAATCTGCTTTTGTGAGGACAAAATGACTGGCAAGAGCAGTGTTATGAGTTAACCAGTGACTGGCTTCCTCAAGAGATTTCTCAGATATACCACGTTGGAGATGACAACTGCTGCAGTGGCCTATTCCATGAGCCACTCTTGAAGGCTGTGGGAAGGGTACAGCTGGTGCAGAAGGAACCCATTGTTGGTCCATGTGAGGCCACATCTCATTCCTCGTGTCACACCTGTGTGATCTCTTGGCTCATTTCCTATGTGGTACTAGTTAGAGTTTAAAACTTCCCAGGGATCAGGGTGGCATTAGGCTGCAGTAGCACAAAGGGGCCAGGCTGTGTTTAAGGGCAGTTCTCTGTGATTTCAGACACAATCAGGTCTTTGTAAAAGAAAATTATCTTTTCTTCCCCCCCCCCCCACCCGGAAATGTTCACTTACAATTTCATGTGCTGTATTTTTATAGTATTTTTAAATGTGTTACAAGCTGAAATCATGGGAAGGCTGATGCAGGGGTGAAGAGCATAGTCAGAGGAGCCTTACTGCCTAAACCATTTAAATCTAGACTGTTTTTAAACTGTCAGATACTATAAAAGGTATTAATCCTGTATAAACTTGTGGTGACTTAAGTGATTATGATATGCTTTAAAAAAAAAAAAAAGCCCTTTATTATGTGGATTATGGTTTAGGCTTCCTATTTGTAGTTTATGAGATCTGATTGCTTTCAGTTAAGAAAGCTTTTGTATAAACTGAAAGCCAGTAGGAACATTCCACTCTTACTTTCATTAAAAGGCATTAAATTGAAGCAAATATTCCATCTTCCTGTTGATTCTCTCTGCAGCATCTGAGATCTGTATAGAGGCCTCAGAAAGCACTGGCTGCAAGCACCAGCTCTGGGGTTTTCATTGCTGTTGTGCATCTTGGTTTGTTAAGAAACCACACAGTAGTAAGTTGTATTTGAAGTGTTTCACTGAGTTCCAGTGCCTTGTCCTGTAAGGCAGGGCTGGTCTGTGCGAGTGATGGAACTCTTTTCCACAGCTGCTCTGCCTGAAACACATTTCCACAGGAGCAAAGAACAGAGCCAGATGATAGCACTGCCCTTAACCACACAGGGTGCTACTTCATCTGTCTCTAACAGAAACCTGGAGCAGCTTTGATCTTATTTTTCTAAACCAGGGTGTGTAATGTATTTCAAACCCAAGTGCTGTACTGCACACAGATGGTGTCTTGCCGAATAGATAAAGGAATGGCCCACATGCAACAGATGTTACCTGAGTCCAGTAATGAGCTGCTGACAAGCATCAAGGTGCTTTGATGGTCCTTCTGTGTGTAGCACAGCGGTTTGTGTTAGCAGTAAACACACGTTTGTTCACAGTGCCAGCTTCTAGTTAACCTTTTGAAAATACTGATTTTAGGCAACCCATATGAGATACTTTCAGAGTTCTGTGTTCTTCTGAAGCTTTAGTTGTGAGGTTCTTTTACTAAATAATGCCTTTGTATAAGGTTTATAGTTAGGAGCACGATGCCTGTTGGTTTTTAAAGACATTTGTATCTGGTTCTGATCATCATTTGTCCTGATGCTGAGGAAAGAGTGGTGCTGTGTATATTTTGTCTCTCACCAGTATGTTTGCCCAGTTCCAGTGCTGCATCAGCAGCAGATCTGGAGAAGCTATGTAAGGTAAACGGGGCTGTGTACGTGGAAGTCAAATGCATTTCTAGGGACAGGGTTTGACTTAAGCTATGTGGTCAGCAGATGCATTTTAACAGCCAGGGACCTTGCATGGCTGGTGAAAGCTGGTGGATGCTTCAGTGCTTCATCTTGTAAGTTTGGTTTTCTAGTTGTTTCAGCAATACCTGATACAGAAGATGACTTGTGTCCTGACTTCTGGATACACTGCATCTTGTACTGTACTATTGCAGCTGGCAGGCTCGGCTACTTAATGGCTTTTCCTTGTCTTCTGCAGCAATGTTCTTTAATTGATCCTAAAGGTTCCAGATTTCATCTACCTATTTTGTCTCTGTCCACTGCATTATATAAGGCAAGCAGTAGTCCAGAACACCGCTCCTTGTGCTCTGGAGCTTGTTTGACACTTCAGTGAGACACAAAGCGGATTAGAGGTGTATGACAGCATGCTGGCTGTGTGTGCATCAACATGGTTATGAGCCTGTTGGCTATTGCTTCCTATTTCAAGGGTGAAAAGAGCTGAATTAAAGCACTGGACCATCCCTTTGCTGAACAGGGATGAGCTGACAATGGTCCGTGTGTTCATAGTTTGAAGCTCCAGTTATAGTTTTTTGCTTTAATTTCTGTTTCTAAATCTAATAAAAGCTATCCAGGAAACCATTTGTGTTGGTCCTTTTCTTTTATAAAATAAAATCAAAGGCAATGAAAGTAAAATTTCAACTTTTTCTCCCTTTTTTGTCATGTTTAAATGTATGGATATTTGTATAGAAGTGAAATAGTTGCATTTTGGTCGCTCAACACTGGCATTGCGTTCCATGTGAGGACATACAGTGCTTCAGCATGCCAGTGAGCAGAGGAAATAGCTGAGAAACTAAAAAACCCAAACCAACAGTGCTAATATTTCCTTTTTATATAGTTTCCTATTTTAAATGGTAGTATAAAAAGCAGTTTTACTCCTCAGTGACCTTGCTGTTGTGGCAGGAAGCTCCAGAAGTGTGCAATCCGATGTTTCTGTAGCATGGAAGCATGCAGGGCTAGGTCTATGACACAGATTCTTTGAGAGGCACTTCTGAAGTGTTTTATCACTCAGTGCTATTGAGCTTTTCTGCTGTTGTCAGCACGGAGACTTGAGAATTCAAATAAAATTACTAGGAATGGTGAAACTTTTAATTAAATGTATCTATCTTGCACTAATGACTTCCGAAAATGTCTTGTAAAAATAACATCCAACAATGAAAACAAAGCTTGAGTCACAACTGCTGTTGGTTCTGCTTTTTCCAGTTTTCCAGCGAGCACGTTGGGACACATCTCCCTGGTTTAAAGCATTCATTGCAGCCTGAACACTAGCAAGAGAATCACTAAATGGAGTGGAAGGTACCTGGGGTGTCCTGTGGAACACTGTGGCTGTAGGAGGCTGTGCAGGCAGAGGGGTGCTCCCCTGATGCTGCACTTGCTGCAGAGATCCCACAGCCACTTTGTGAGTTTAAAGTGAGTGGAAATGAGGAGTCCTCTCACCGAGTCTGCAGAGACCCAGCCTGGCAGGTTGACCTTTAGGCACTTTGCAGCTCTACAGCTGATTGTAGCTCCTTGGAACCCTTCTTTTAACCTCTCTGAATTTACTTTTTTGTTGAAGATACCCTTTCTAATGCAAAAATACTACATTGTGGCACTCACACCGAGCTGTTGGTGTCTTGCAGAATCCACATTTCTCAAGAATTCTAGTTAAAATTGGTCAAAACATGTAGTAGCAATTCAAGTTTCTATAGGCAGTGAATTCCTGGGTCACGTTTTAAAATACAACTGGCATATGTGAGTTATAAAAAGAGGTGATGATGGTGATTCCTTTGTAGTTCCCTTTGCTTTAGAAATTCAGTAAAATGGAGTTTCTGGAGCTCCATTCCTCACATTCTCATGTTCATGAGGGGCTGGTGCTGGTGGGGAGCACACAGGGAAGGTGAGTGTGAGCCTGGGAGGTGACTTGCTTGTGACCCTCGTAGAGTCTGGGTATGGCATGAAACAAAGTGCAAAGTGTTCACACAGCAGGAGAAGCATCTTGGGTTTGTGCAGTGATTCTGAACCTTATCTGAATGGGAACGGATGCATCAGCGCGGGGCTCACAAGCTGTGGTTGGCTCCTGGGTGCTAGAAGTGTGTTTGAGGCTGACACCTTGTTGCCTGGCTGGTGGGGGTGTCTGTGGGACCCCCCAGTAACCCATGTCCTGCAGAAGTTGTTGGTGGTGGCTCCTCCAGGGACTCAGTTGTACCTCTTGGTTGGTTCTGTCCTGTGAGAGAGAGGAGGACACGTATGGAGCCACTGTTCCCACCTCCCAGCTCGCCTGCTGGCTGAGCTGCTGTGGCTCTGCCTCCTGTCACCTTTCAAGAGGCAGATATTTTTCCTTGCAGCTATCGGCCTTGTGAAGATTTTTAGTATTTAACAGCCAGTTGTTGAAATAAAGAGACTTTTCTTCTGAGAATCCTACCTTAGGTTTTCCTGCTCCTTTTGACGGTTTTGACATTTGGTTTGTGGAAAATTTATCACAAAATAGAGGTTTAGTTTCCATTCAGGTAAAGGAGTAGGTGAACTTCAGTATTTTGTTTTACAGAGAACTAAAAGAAAGTTGATGTAGAGAAAATGAAATAACCAACGTGTTTGTAGTTGTCTCCTGTAGAATGTTTATCAGGTGATTCAGAATCTTCAACCTGTCTTTAAAGATGCAGTTTTCCATGTAGAAAAGCTGACAATACTTTCCTCTTCTTGCAGCTTCCTATAAAGGCTGGCCAGCAAAATACCCACACCAAAGTCAGTACGGAGCACAACAAGGAATGTCTCATAAACATTTCCAAGTACAAATTTTCCCTGGTCATCAGTGGTCTCACCAATATCTTAAAAAATGTTAATAACATGGTAAGTTTTCTTATTTTGGATTGTTGGGTTAGGGTTCATGTGGGATCTCCAAAGCAGGTAACAGAACTGGCCATACCCTAGCAGTACTGGGGTTTATGGCTTTAGTAGGAGACTTTGCAGCAAGCTCTTCTGGATGTCAGCTGTGTAGAGATGTGCTAAAGCACTACAAAGGATTGATAAGGTCTGAAAATAGATTGTCCTGCTGATGGGGATTTTAGGCTGCTTAAAGTTTGAGAGAGAATTTGTGTTAAATAAACCCCATAGGCACGAAGGAATGTGTTGATGTGTAAGATGATTGATAAATGAGAACTATGCAGTTATAACAAGTATCTGTGTGTGATATATAGATTTTCAGAGGAAAGATCTAGCTAAGAATGCCAATAAAAAAAGTCAACATTTGCTTTGCACTGAGTTGCAAGACTTAACGTTTTTTGTGTTTGATGGATGGAGCTACTGTATGAATTGGCAACATTTTGGAAGGATTTCTGTAGCTGAAACCAGAGACCAGCAGACTGTCAGCATGGTCTTAGTTTAGCACACAGAGGGTTTGCACTCTGCTGAAGTTGAGGTAACCTCTCCAATGGTTTAAAATACAGCTTCCTTTGGGTGACTTCTACACGTGTCCCATGTGTAGGCCTATTTTTGGTGAAATCTTTTCTGCTTTGTTTTGCTTACTATTGCTGGAACTAGTTGCTACTGTTGGCAGTAAAACTGGGTGCTGGCTTCAACACCCAATGGCACTCTGCCGTCCTTCTGCATCTGAAGCGTGGGGTCTCTTTGGAGCCTCTCCTGTGTTTGGTCCTGTAGTCTGTGCTAACTTCTGCAACACCCTAATAAGCTTGTCAGTATGGATTTGTTGTAACATCAGTTCTATTAAGATGTTGGCAGTTAAATAGGTAAGTGGGAAAGAGTCAGCAGTAACTGATACCAAAATAGGTTCTGGAAAGGTATAACCTTCATTTCTGAGTACATTACAGGCCTGATGGAGGTAAGGGGCTGCTGTGCACCTCCAGTCGTGCTTTGTGGTAACTGTTCCATATTAGACTTGGCATTGCAGACTGGCCAAACCTATTTCTTCAGCAATAATGTTTTAATTCCTATTTTAATCTGATTTTCGTTGGCTTTGTTTCTAAGCTCAAACCCAGAGCTGTAAAGGAGCCATAACTTCTGTGCCACTTTGCTGCATTAATGCATTACAAGTCAAATTTCTGTGTCTCAGATGAATCTGTGTCCTTTCTACTTCTAGAGAATATTTGGAGAAACTGCTGAAAAGAATTTGTATCTATCTCAGCTGATTATCTTGGATACACTGGAAAAATGTCTGGCAGGGGTGAGTAGGCTTACACAAGCCACCGCTAAGTTGGAATCAAATGGGTTAGAGCACACAAGTCAAATGCTTGTGTATCTGTTACTACTGGTGCTAAAGTTAAAACTCATCTGTTTAGAGCAAAGTAGGATTAATGCCATTTAGAAAATTCTAAATCTTCCTGTAACTGCAATCACTTGATATAAGTGAGAAATGAATGATTTCGGGGTGCTTTTTTCCTGCCTAAAATCAGTGGGTTTTTTTCAGCTAAGAAGATTCAAATAAACTTTTGAATTTGCCGTTCCCACTACTCCACTGATTTATGGAGCTACAAATAATGTTTCTCTTTTAATAACTTGTTAACAAGAACACAGCCGTACTCAGAGACATGTGTGAACTGGAAGAAGGGAAGCCACAACCCAAATGAAGAATGAGATGTGGCTGTGAAGCTTCGCTAGGTTTTTTTGAGCTGTGAGTGCTTGTGGCATGTCCTGCTCACTATTTTTTAAGTAGGTGCATCAACACGTTTTTGTCTTAAACACTTTTAAACAATTTAAACAGAAAAAGTAAGGAATGGTAAATCATGTTAAAAGTAGCAGAAATTCAGTTCAAGTATCTGTTTTCTGCGCAAAGTGGTGGTTTTTCCTTACATTTCTTAAAACTTTCATTTTTTTGAAGTAATCTGTCATGAGCTGCTGTATACAGCAGAGACTTTGCTATCGCTATTCGAAAGATTACTTTTGCAGGTGTTTCCTAGATTGCATTAGTTCACCATGTCCAGACTTCCACTGGGAGTCCAGTCCTGAGCTTTCCAGTCAGAGCTGTGCTGCAAGGCAGTTTCTATTACCTTTGGGATGTAAACGGTTCTACAAGTTACTGTGTGAAGCTGTGTAATTGCAAAGCCAAGCTTCCCAGTGAGCATGGTTTGCAGTGGTTTATTCCTTTAGCAAGAAAGGAACTTCTTTTTGAAAGCTGTATTCCTGGAGGAATGGCATGGAATCAGCTAAGCTCTTTGCTGTTTCTCTGCAACAGTTTCTGAAGTTCTTTCTTTATAAGGTATCGACCTTACTATGGTTAGCTTTGTCAAGCAGCATATCTTGCATTACAGTACTAAAACAGGCTGAATAATTGTGGATTCTTCTAAAATCACAGAAGAGCCAGGTAAATACCTTCTCCAGAATAATCTTCAGCTTTTACAGCTGAGGTAAATGCTGCTTCTTGGCGTTTCTTGTCTTTGGTGCAGAGAGTTGGAAAAGCTGTTTTAACCTCAGAAGTTAATTCTTTTAAACTACTCCTTACATGCATGTTGTTTGAAATGTCAGTGGGTTTTTTCCTGATGATGGTATTTGAACAGCCTAAAATTGCGCTGAATACTTCTTGCTTTGTCAATTTAAATGAGAGCAAGTTGAGCCAGTGTATGTTTAATAAGACTTGAGCCAAAGTTCTATACAAAGAGCGTTGTGTTCTGCGCTATCTTCAGTCGTATTTCTTGCTCCCTGTTCTTGCTCAATGTTTCATCCAGTTCTCATGGCAACAGGACTCAGGTCAACTAAGTGGGAGTCTCTGAAACTTCCCAATTCCCTATGGTAAATTCATTGGTAGAATTTTAGAAAGCTTTAATGCTGACCCTGTGTTAAAACTTGCTTTTAGTAGAGCAAAGTTTCACTTTGAATTCTTTTGTAAATAGTTTCCTTATGTCTCATACTGTGCAAACTGGCAAAAATGAGATGTTTCTGTTGCAGGAAAGTTAAGCCATTTTTGACTCGTGTAGAGCAATCCCAGGCAAGAGAAAGGGAGAACCTCTTTTTCAGCTCACTTTTTTAATATAAAATACTTGCTGTCAAAATACAGTGGTTCAAGTCCTACCAAAAAGAGAGGTAAGGGTGGGTCTTTGCTCTTTGAGCTTCCATTCCAAACCGAGATAGTTAATGCTCTACTGCTAATACTTTACACAGATCAACAGGCATAAAGATGCTTTGCTTCAAAAACTAGTTTGATCTTTTGCTTGGTCCTTGATAACATTGATTAACCCAGTGTCCTATATATTTTGGAGACTTAGCTGAAAGTGTAAGATGGTTTGAATGACATGAGTTACTGTTCAAATGGAAAGAAGCCTGTTCTGTGCAGACTACTTACACTATGGCCAGGGGTAGCCTTCAGGCAGTTAGGAGTTTCGATTCAGGTCCTGTGCCTACTTACCAGTGGCAGATGCTCCGTGGTTTTTTGCCTCCAAACCGGAATTTCATGCAATACTGCATGTTTATTTTTAGCAACCAAAGGATACCATGCGACTAGACGAGACTATGCTGGTGAAACAGTTGCTGCCAGAAATCTGCCACTTCATCCACACCTACCGTGAAGGGAACCAGCACGCAGCTGAGCTGCGGAGTTCGGCCTCTGGGGTTCTTTTTTCTCTGAGCTGCAATAACTTCAATGCTGTGTTCAGCCGCATTTCCACCAGGTAGGTGCTCTCAGTAGCCTGACAAAGTGTGTTAGAGGATCTGCTACATAGTGATGTGTAGAACATCCATCATGAGGTGTAGTCTTCCTAAGTTCAGAAAAGTTAACTGTTTACATGGTAATTAATAATATGGTTCCTTAGTTCCTAAGTGAAACTACCCCTCAAAACTTCACTTGAGTTTCTGATTACCAAATGAACCTGTTTCATTCCCATCCTAGGTCACTGCCAGCAGAGTTTCTGTGAGCTGCATTTACTGCATCTTTAGTTTGCTTTCAAAGTATGTGTTAAATACTACTGTAGACTGCAAATAATAGTAACTCAGTTGAGTAAGTTCTTGCAAGGTGTTTTGGAAAACAAAGGCTGCTGAAGATGATGGTTGCATACATTTGCCTGTGAATTTAGAATGCACAATTTCAGCTTGTCTGCAGCTTGACTGGAGCCCAGTGCTGTTTTCCTTCTGAATTTTTCCTGCCTGAAGGCTTTTATGTCAAATCTGTCTTAGGCCTGAAGGACAAAACAGCTGGGCAGTTTGTTGGTTGTTGGGAAAGACCCATTTGTCTTCTGCCTGATTTGAGTTTCACAGCACATTGACTGTAAAAATAACTGTCTTTGCTAAGTGAGAAGAGAGACAGGCCCAAAGTTTCCATCTATTCTTTGCTCTGTTTGCCTTGTTCCACATCCTTCTGATGCTTCAGCATTTGCCAATCCACTGGAGTTGTGCATTATGCTTTTTATTACTGAAATACTTAGATGTTTTTTGGAAGATGCTTGAGACAGCTTAGCTCCAGGCACATGTCACAACTAAATCACCCTTGCTTTGCTAGGAGTGGAGCTTCGGCAGCCTCATGTGGTCCCATAGCAATGAGTGTGCCAATTTAATCGAGACAAAGATTTATATATTCCTTCTAATGGAAGAACAGTTCCTTCCCACATGCTGGAAAACACTTGCATTTTAGAAATCAGTCTAAAATTATTTAATAATTTTAAATTTTAAGTATTTTTAAAGCTTTTGCAGAGCTATAATAACTTCTGCTTCAAGAACATGGACTTGGCAGCTGGGATGGAGGATGTGGTTTTACTCAATAGGTTGATTATGTTTTGTTGCTTATGGAAATGGAAACAATTTCTTTTGCTCCTTTTATAGGAAGTACTTTTCAGTTGAAGTCTTTTGACAGTCTTTGAATCTGGTCCATGGATCTATATTTATTCATATGTATGTAGCATGGTTTAGTTCTCAAGCTCCAAATCCCTTCCTGCCATCCCTCTGAGCTGGCACACAGCGCTTTTTCCCTAACCTGTTTTTCACTTCAGATGGCTTGTACATGAACAGTTAAATATTTGACCAGTTGTTGCTGATCTCCACAGGGGTCAGCTTGCCGACAGTTAGCATTGCTGATCTTTTGACCTGTGCTTCCTGTTTAGGCATATTTCTAGGCCTTGTACAGCAGCTGGGGGATTTTTGGCACGAAAAGCACAGCACTGGGGACCTTCCCATTCCCAGCGAGGGCTGTTAAGTTGAAGAAATGAAGAACTGCTTTTGTGTGTAGTACTAGAAATCACATTCCATGTCTAAAACACATCTGTAGCTTTGGAACAAGGCATGGCAATCTTTAGTTTGTGAGAACATATGATTTAGTTATTAGTGGCTTAGTATCTGATGAGATGTTTAGTAAATCATCGGATGCAAAAGTGTAAAAAGATGCTGTTCTGTTTAAACTGGTGTGATTAAACTTGGTCCTCTTTGATCAGACCAGAAAAAATGTGGCCCTTCTTTAGCTTACAAGGGGTGGTTGTAGCTCAGTGATGTTAAGTACCATCAGTCACTGCTTTAGTCTTGAGAAATGATCTGGGGCAAGACTTGCTGTTAAGGAGCAGTAGTCTGAAGGTGTCACGATTCCACAGATTTAATATTTAGTTGGAAAGATGACAAGATTACTGCTACAGTATGGTAGATAACAGAAGGATTTAGGCAACTCTTGGGCATAAACAGACTGTCACCAGATGGTGTTGGTATCCTGTAAGACTCATCACTGATATTTCTAGATCCATTTTTCAGTATGAGGATGGAGCAAGATAAAATGTTAACTCTTAATCATTCAAGCTCCATCTTCCATTTCTAAACCTGGAAAAGTTTATCTGAGGAGATAAGATAACCCTCCCCTGCTGTTCCAATGTGTACAACCATAGGCTTGTGTTCATACCTCTCTGACATAATCCCATTGAGAAGTTAGTTTACTTTGCATATTTTTAGATTACAGGAACTGACTGTTTGTTCAGAAGATAATGCTGACGTTCATGATATTGAACTTTTACAGTACATCAGTGTGGATTGTTCCAAACTAAAGCGACTCTTGCAAGGTATGATTTGAGCCTGTGTTTTAAAATACTGTTACCTGAATATGGCTAGTTAGAGCTGACACAATGCTATTGATCTGGGTATCTTTTTATTGCTGTGGTTTACTCCAAATAGTCACGTATTTACCAATATATTTCAGAATATTTAAGTCACAGAAACATTGGTTTAAAAACTGCTTTGCACTTCAGATGTCTTTTATAATCTGTGTTGCTTTTTAGAACCAAGTATCTTTCCTCAATGCAGAAATGTTTTACCTTTACAGAGACAGTATTCAAGTTTAAAGCGCTTAAGAAAGTAGCTCAATTGGCTGTTATCAACAGTCTTGAAAAGGTGAGTATTTTAATGTTTGTCTTCTGTTTCATTGTTTATTTGCACACTTGCTCTAATTAAGGAGTAGTTGCAATTCAGTAATTTACCATGAAGTGTAAGTCGGTGCGTCCCTTCGATGCATATATGTTTTGCAAGAGATGTTGAGTGATCAGAAGAAGAAAATCTTGCTTCGTTTGAAGACATAGTTCAGAGAAAATATTTGTAAGCTCTGGAATGTAAAGATGTTTTTCATTATCTGCAGGCGTTTTGGAACTGGGTGGAAAACTATCCTGATGAATTCACAAAGCTGTATCAAACACCTCAGACTGATATGGCTGGTAAGGCATAGCCAATGATACACTGTTCCAAAGACACATTCCCTTGCATTTTTGACCCTGTCTGCTTCTTGTGCAGCCTACAAATAAGAACAACCCCAAATTTGTGCCAAGCCCTCTGAGGGCAGGCAGGGTTTATCATTATCTCTTGTCTCTCCTGACTCATGTTTTAATTAAAAAGTGATTCATTTTGTGGTTCACAGCACAAAGAAATAAAACCTAAAACGTGGGAACTCTTGAAATATATTTTTTTCATCTTGATACATGAAAAACCTTGGAGACCATCACCTGCATTTGTCTCTAGGCAAAAAGAGAGGAAAACTTAATATTTTCAGGGAAACCATGTCTTTAACTGGGTTGAGACCATTTTGCCCCTAGTAGCGTGCCAGTAACGTGCAAACCAAAACTTTTCTTCTGTGTAGCTGGAGCTATCCCTCTGTCCTTTTATACCTATTCTTTACCTTTTCATCATTAAAACTGGTATTGAACTTGGGCTTATATTTTCTGCAGATTGTGCCGAGAAGTTGTTTGACTTAGTGGATGGCTTTGCTGAAAGCACAAAACGTAAAGCAGCAGTTTGGCCACTGCAAATCATACTCCTGGTCCTGTGTCCAGAGATAATCCAAGATATAGCAAAGGACGTGGTGGAAGAAACTAAAATGAACAAGGTAAGAGAAGAAAAGTGTCTGAATTTGGGTTCTGATTTCTAGAGGATGCTTGGTTTTGCTTGTTCTGTATTTCAGGTGTATTTTGTCTTTACTGCCTAAAAAGCACATTACAATTCCATATTCATGCACTCTTTTTAAGTTCTCACCTAACATATGTTCTGTCACTGTCAATCCTTCATACAGATAGCGTGTCCCAAACAGTGTTACATCAGGACTTTTACATCTCCTTGGAGATTTAAATCCCAGCGATCTGATTTTCCCCTGGGAGCATTGCTTCTAGCTGACCAGTGTGGTGCTGGCCTGGATGTCTGCAGTGCGTGTATTGGGCACTCCCTAATAGCAGCAGCTGTGGCAGATGTTGAATTAGATGAGGCTGCAAACATGATGGTTAAGAGTAAACAACCATCTATCTTCATACCATTCTCATTGCCCTAGATCATAATGAACTTTAGTAATCATAAAGTTTCTCCAGAATGCTGCATCAAGTTGGTTTTTGCAGTCCCAATGTCCATGATTTCTGATGAGAAAACAAAGTGTTGTTTGGTTTTAATATGTAAGGATCTAAAAACCCTGCCCACAGATTACCAGAGCTCTGGCTATAACTATTCCTGGTTTGAATTGTGCAGAAACTGTTCCTGGACAATCTCAGGAAGGCACTTGCAGGCCACGGTGGGAGTAGACAGCTGACTGAAAGTGCTGCTATTGCTTGTGTTAAACTGTGCAAAGCTTCTACCTACATCAACTGGGAAGATAATTCCGTCATTTTCCTACTAGTGCAGTCCATGGTGGTGGATCTTAAGGTAAAACTGCCTGTTTCCTATTTGCAAGGAAGAAATCTGAATTTTAAGATACTGAAATACTTTACTTTTCTCCTTAATTGAATACCATGGTGGGTGGAAGTGGAAAATGTTGTATTGACAGTAGACATGGGTAGTCTTGGTGTCTGATTTATACATTTCTGGTTTTTTGGAATACACAGAATTTGCTGTTTAATCCAAGCAAACCTTTTTCAAGAGGCAATCAAAATGCAGATGTAGACCTTATGATTGACTGCTTGGTTTCCTGTTTCCGCATAAACCCTCATAATAACCAACACTTTAAGGTGAGAACTCTGCCTACTGGTAAGTCATTCTCCACATACTTTTGATGACCTGTCAGTTATGAAAGATACTCTAACAGCAGCTGGAAGCTCATGGATGAGTTCAACTGTATAGATATCTCTTAGTAATAAATCGCTCCATGTTTTTATAACTCTGTCCTTAGCTGATTTCCTTGTTTAGATTTGACAGCTTTGTCAGTTTAATAAAAAGGCTCCACTCTGTTGTTCAGTGTGATAAGAAAGATGGCAAAGACAGAGATGTTCCTAAGTAGCTTTTATGTGTTTTTATTGTAGATCTGCCTGGCCCAGAATTCCCCATCAACATTTCATTATGTGCTGGTAAATTCGCTCCACCGAATCATCACAAATGTGAGTTCTGAAAATATTTCATCAGCCCAATCTGTAATTTCTCTTCACATCAGCATCTGCTTATTAAATACAGTTTGAATGGTACACCAAATTCTGTAGCCAGAATCCATGCAGCAGGAGTTGGTTGCTAGTAAGGAAGGACATACAAATCTTTGTTCATGCTGTCCACCAGTTGGGTTCCCAGTTTAAGAGCTTGTGTTCCAGTATAACACTTCAGCAGAGATATGCTTTGATATCCTCTAATGTAGGATGACAAATGAATCTTTATGTTTTCTGGTCATATAGTAGGTAATGCTTTATTGATGCATGAAAAACACTCTCAGGACATGCAGAGTTACTCCACTTCTAGCATATTGCCATAAGAACCTGGGAGAGGAGCTGCCCTCATGGTTTCGTCCAGGGCTTTGATCCAGTATGAATTGAAAGAGTGTAAAATTTGTAGTAAATGCTGAATACCAAAAGTAGTTTGAAAGTTTGTGCAGTTGCTGACCTTCAGTTTGTTACTGTGCTTTAAGTCACTAAAATAGCACTTTAATTTTTATTCTGTTCAGTATGAAAGTAGTCAGTACCAAGAAGCAGCCAGCCTGATTTAACTTACAAAACATGTTCTATTTCATTTATCCCAACAACATAATGAAAAAGCTATACTTCATAAGAAACGGTATTAGGCACTTTAGCAAATGGGGGAGAAAATGTTCCTGTAGATGCAGTGGTGCAATACAGCTTTTCAGATATTATCAAGTACTTCAGACACCAATTTTCCATTTTGTTCAGTGTATCACAGTGAATTGAGTGCACATTGTTTGTTTTGAAGTATTACACAGGAGCACTCAGTATCCCGAAATCCCCAATGGCTGCCTGCATTTGTGGGTACAGAGTTTGTGCTTGCTCAGAAAGAGTACCATAGGAAGCAGCTGAGTTGGAAGTCTTCTGTTATATGTTTAAATCAGTAATGTTTTAAATCCTAAAAGTTTCAGAATGAGAATACAAGATTAAGGTTTGAGTGATGCAGTGTAAAATACTCACGTGTAAAGGTTGGTTACACCACAGCTTTTGTAACCTTTGGAGGTGTGAAATGAATGATAATCCAAGCCCTGCCCTGCCAGTTTGAACATTGCTGTGTTGTGGTTGCAGTCGGCTCTGGACTGGTGGCCGCGGATCGACGCTGTGTACTGCCACTCCATGGAGCTGCGCAGCATGTTCAGCGAGACCCTTCACAAGGCCATCCAGGGCTGCGGGGCCCACCCGGCCATTCGCATGACTCCGGTAAGGCTTCCAAAGGAGCTCTGCAAACACAGCCCCGCAGTTTTCCTGTGTCTCCATCCCATTCCAGCTTTTTTATCCATTAACTTTAGACTGGAAACTAGAGGGGGGGAAGAACATTGCCATCCAAAAAGCAACAGAGAGCCATACATGCTCTGTAAACCTTGCAGGCCTTGGTGTATTGACTAACTGGTTTTGGTCAGTTAGTGATGTATGTTTCTCAGTTTTCATGCTGCTTTTAAATGAGCAACATAGAAGTATTTCTTCTGTATCTGTCCTCTGTGGCTAACTGTTCATTTTAAGCTTTCTTGCTGTGTGAATAGCTAGGTAATATGTCCGTTCTTGTTTAATCTGAAAACAAAAGCATTCTGTATGTGAAGATAATGTCTGAAAACTGCAGTGCTTTTCCCACGATTGACACGAGTATCTCTTTCATTTCTCTTGCTTTCTGTTGAGCTAATTGACTGTTTGGTCTTGGTGACAGCATCAAAGTGAAAGATTTTTCAGGCATTATGAAATAAAGTCAATATTCTTGCTTGACTTGGAAAAAAATCCTTGGTAAATGCAAATTTGTAGCTCATCCAAATTCTGTAGCAAGTTCACATGCAGCTGCATGGCCTTTCTTCCACAGTTCCCACTTAGGACTTTGGATGTAGTAAGGGAACTTGGTTGTTTTAAAAGGCCTAAAATGTTACAAATGAAAATACTCCTATTGGGGTTCTCAAATGAAAGCAAATGATCAAAATACCTTCAGTTGAAAGCTACAACATGTTTAACTTGCTTTTCACATGTCTGTATTCATCTGTTGAGAAAATAGCAGGGGTTTTGTAATGGCAACTCGGACATTGATTGGTGGTGCTTTGTCTTCTGCTTCTTATTTTCCGTTCTTATTGCCTGCTGTCGCTCACATGGTCAGATGCCAACCAGTCACTGTTTTGCATGGCAGTGGGCCTCTGTTGCTGTAAGTATGACCCATTGTAACTACCGCAGAAAAGCCCTCCCTTGCTCTGACTTTTCTGTGCATAGTTACCACTGCAGTCACCTCACTCCATCTGGGGACAGAAGGTAGCGTGGTTTACACAAGAACATAGGATGGGAGGAGATCCCAGCACTACCCCTGGCAACTGCAGGGTGATCCCTTGCACAACCAGCCGAGGTCCTTCCTGGGAGTAACAGCCTTTAATTGATTCTGGTCTTTTCTTTCTACCCCCTTCTCCATCACGATGCTCTTCCAGAATCTCCCCGCTCTAGTGGTTAGAGCCATATCTAATTTCCAGCCTAAACTTATTTGTGTCTAACTTGTCCCTGTTGTTCTTGTTCCAGTGTTGCCTGTTAGCTTCAAACTGGTGTCTACCCCCTTGCTGTACCTGCAGAGAGCAGTCATGTCCCTGTCTTTGTTTAGCATAGGCTTTAGTTTTGATTGTGTGAAGTAATAAATTGCTTCACAGAACAAGTTGGCTTCTTTTGCCATGTGCCTCTTCTCAGAACCCCCTTCACTGTAGCACACTAAACTTTAGGAGAGAATTAGTTAACTTGACCAGTGTGGAACCAGTTTCTTGATTAGACGCTTTTTGTATAATGGATTTTCTGTATATTTTCACAGTAACTATCATAATAGCTCTGTCATCATGAGATTCTGTTTTGTTGTAGAATTGAGCTATACAATGTCATATCTCTTCAGTCACTGGGAGGATTATTTCCAGCTAATTTGGGTGGGGTTTTTTTTGTTCAAAATTTGTAAAGTTCAGTGAAAATAAAAAACCAGTTACTGTTGGAGCTTCACAAACTATAAACTACACAGGATAGTTTAAAAAGCTGTGTGTCTAAGAGCCTTATATCCTATCTTATGGTGAATATCCACAACAGCGATTTATTTGTCCAAGTTACTGTCCTGTAACTATTTTGGTACCTGTAAGCAAAAGTGCAATTTCAATCCCTCCTGGTATAAGATTGAAATTAATGAAAATACAAATTCTGTAAAGTAACGGAAGAGATGAAGTTCTTTTGATTTTGGACATAGTGGGGATCACTCAAGTTCACCTCTTTAATGCATGTATTTATATGTGTGTATATATGTACAGACATGCACACATACATATATTGTGTTTCTCAGAGTTTAGCATGTATCCAAGTTATTTTTGGTTGAGATGAAGGAAGAGCAGTCACTTGCCATACAGCAGTAGTAGAACATGATATGGTTCATCTTGGAGTCAAACCAGAATACCTAATGTGAAATCTCAGTGCATACCTTGCCTGTCCAAATGTCCTTCATTTCACAAAGGAGAAGGAAGTTGTCCAGAAGTAGTTAACTGCTTTTTCAGATGGGGCTAGATTTATTTCACTGAAGCAATGCACTGCCTACCTTGTGAGAACCAAAAGGTTCTTTTTTCAGAGGTCACAGAGAAGAAAATGCTAAAATCCAGACTGATGATGACAGAATATAGAGAATATTTTGCCTTTAGAAGAGAGTTCCCTGCCCTCCCATGTGTTCAGACTCACTTGGAAACATTTACTTTTATTTCTTTCTTAGACCAGAGAGAATCCCTGTAAATATTTTTGGTCCTTTTATACATTTTTCTTTGGCCACAATTCGTCTTATGCACGAACTTTTCTTATGCTCACATGCAGCTCACTAGAACAATTCGGAAGGAAACTGTAAAGATACTAAAGGGATAGAGTATGCAGATGTAAAAGGGGATTTTTAAGGAGACAGCTGTGTGCCTATACTGGAGTGAGTGTTAGATACTTTCAAAGTTCTGAATGAATTATGGATTATAAAAGCAATACACTTACAAGATGTTTCATTACAACTGCTGTGTAGCCTGCCTTACTGACAGTGACTGTGGTTTTCCTTCTGTCAGAGTCTTACCTTTAAGGAGAAAATGACAAGCCTTAAATTTAAAGAAAAGCCTACTGATCTGGAAACCAGAAGCTACAAGTTCTTGCTGTTATCCTTGGTAAAGCTGATCCATGCTGATCCAAAGCTGTTGCTGTGTGTAAGTATATCATACTACTCATCCATAGGAAAATTTACTTTTGAAGCTACTGAATAAAGCTACAAACCTGGCACTTAGGGTACTTTCCTACTCAGTCTTCTGAGTTTAATGCTGCTTTGAAAGGAGAAAGGCAAAAGTAAAAAGAAACTGTAAAGAGTTGCAGCACAAGGAAAGGGAGCATAAAGCTCTAACTCTGGAGGGGGGCAGGATGAGAGAGGAACAGAAGAAGAAAGCTAAAATAAAGGTTGGGGGAAAACAAGTCATCATTTCACTGAGTCGAAGGACAGATGTGGTCTTCGATCTCCCGTTTTTCTCAGGTCTGTTTATTGTTTAAATATTTCAGTTGTGTCAAAGATCTGATGTGCACAGGGCATTACAGCTTAAAACTGACATAGTCACTGAAAGATCCAGAAATCTGCCTGGTTAATCACAGGAAGTGGTCGGTCACTAAAATGCTTTACATTCAAAGTAACATGGTTGGTCATTAATAAGTTTTACAACTTAAACTTTGTTTGCCTGTTGCTGTTAGAATCCAAGGAAGCAAGGGCCTGAGACACAGGGGAGCACGGCTGAGTTAATTACAGGCCTCGTGCAACTCGTTCCGCAGTCCAGCATGCCAGATATCGCACAAGAAGCCATGGAGGTAAGAGAGCATGTCCTCTGTGCCGGATGAGGGGTGCACAGGCAGATCAAGGCTTTTGCAGAAGCTCTGAAGTCCTGTGTTTTGGAGTTTGGTCTCTATCGATACTTTTCTAAATGCCTGCTGCACTAAAAGTCTTCCAGGAGGTGCCAGTTACATTACCCTGCTGTCTTCAGATTCCTATTCTGAAAAATGCACTATAGTGTCTGTGCTCCATTGGCATCTTTCATGCTTTAGGTTTTCACAGGTAGACTGAAAAAGGGATTATTAAAGCTTTGTATAGTTGAATTTTAGTTAGTAATTAAGGCTTTTTTGTTTAACTTCCCCTCAACAAGAATTGCCACAAATAGTGTCAATATTCTATTAACCTATCAATATATGAAGTACACATTCTTGATAGTTTAATGGTAGAATTCAAGAATCTTTCTTGTATAAGAATAATCCTTTTTGGTGTGAAAGTCTCTGTGGGAGTTCAGGTTGGGTAGTAACATCCTGACAGTCATTTACAGGAGCTTAGAGATGGAAAAGTTCCTGCCATTATGTAATTTGATTTCAGTGTTTTGTTCAGTCTTGATTCTTTAAAAGGTTTCTTTAAGGTAAATCTACCTTTTAAGTGAAGCTCTACTTTGTTTTGAATTTAGGCCTTGCTAGTTCTTCACCAGTTAGACAGCATCGACTTGTGGAATCCTGATGCACCTATAGAGACATTCTGGGAAATAAGGTATGTAAGTTAACTTGTGTGAATTAGAGAATGGCTGGTTTGATTTGTCTTGTCTTTTGAAATAGCTGTGAGTGTTTTGGGAAAGCTCTGCAACACCAGCATGAATCTGCAGTCAAAATTGTTACGTGTATTCGTGGAGAAGTATCTTGGTTGTGCTATATGCATCTAACAGAAATGAAAGAGGAAACATTCTGCTGGTTTACAGAATGACCCTTCAGCCTGATGTTAAGGTGCCCAAATGAAAATTAGTTTGAAAAGTCAGAGAAGTTTCCCTCTCATTCAAGTGTTTACTACTTGTTTAAATTCTGTTTTATTCTTTGGGGGCTGAGGAAGTTTATGCTGGTTCTGTAAGTGTGTGTTTGCTGATCTTGACTCCGAAGCCCTCACCTAAAGAAGGTGGTAGCTTGCCCTGACCCGAGATCTCCATTTGTCTTTCTTTTGTATTTAAATAGCTTTTTATAACTTCACAGCAGCTATTGCAGTTATTTCTTGGGGAATATTAAGGGAAATTTAAGTTCTAAACTAGGAATCTGTAAGCTCAGAATGCTAAGAATTGCATGAGCTGAATAATTAATAGTAATTTGGTGATCCAATCTGGTCGGTACTGGTGTTTGAGTTAGAAGAAAGGGAGCAACAGCCTAGGAGGAACTCTTACAGCATCAGCAAACGGGCCTGCATGACTGCTGAGTGTGGCTCAAGGGGCTTGTTATGGGCTAGGTTTGGGGCTGAGCCCTGTGTAGATGGGCAATAACTGGAACTCATGACACTAATTCCTAGCAGTAGGAATGAGTTTGTGCTGCTCGGGGTGGGGGAAACACCCATTAAAATTGACACTAATTTGGACCCTTTGGCAGTTTTAACAGAGAGTGTGAGGCCTGAATGGATAAGAAGAAGGAACATCCCTAGATGTGTTCCTTCCAGAACAGAGTTGAGACACGTTGTCAGAGCAGTGTAGGTAAACTTGTACTGCCACTGTCTGTGCTGTATCTGTTCTGGGGATAAATGGAGGATTCCGAAGCGGCAGCCCTGGAGTCCGGACTTCTAACAAGTACCCAAATTGCTTAACTTCCTCTAGGGAGCTGGAGAGGCAGCTGGGCGGTGGGAAGGGTCACAGGGGAGCTTCTCATTTAAACTACACACCTATCTATTATACACTGTAAAAGATGGTGCTAGTATACGTCTAGGATATTTGGGCTAATTGCCTATTTCTATGTAAAATGCAATCATATCTTCAAATGTTATTGCTAGATTATAAAGCTAATGCTGAGTTTCATTTTGCTGCAGTTCACAAATGCTTTTTTATATCTGCAAGAAGCTAACTAGTCATCAGATGCTGAGCAGTACAGAAATCCTCAAATGGCTGCGAGAGATTCTCATCTGTAGGAACAAATTCCTTCTGAAAAACAAAGTAAGGAAATGGTAACATTTATCTGTCTCAGTTCCTGCTTTTCTGATCAGATATAGAATGTGTAGAATGAAATGTACAATACTGCTGAGCTTGGCTTCTTCAGACTTAATTACATCCAAATTACCATTATGTTAGCATGTATTCTATAGAGGAAGCCCAAGAAGCCTGTAGGGCTTTCAGAAGGCAAAGGCATCATTGTGTGCTTGCCTCAAGGTGATGTTTTTTGAAGACGACTCTCCAGATAATTTCTGAGGGGGAAATACCAATCTAAGATACGTTAATATGGGTAACTTTTTAAGTCCCTGAGAACACCAGCGTTAAAAGTATTGTGTAAATGGTGAAGAGCTTTTTCTTCCTGAAATCCATCAAAAACTGATGTTGATTTATTGTTTTCTTCCCTCTCTTCACAGCAGTCAGACAGGAGTTCCTGCCACTTCCTCTTCCTTTACGATGTCTCTGGAGGTGGAACTAGTCAGATTTCTCTTGACCATGAAGAGATGATACGCTGTACTCCAGGAGCTACCCTCAGGAAAGGGAAAGGGAATTCTTCCATGGTAAGTAAGATATGATAATAATTCTTTTTAACACTTGGAGAGGAAAACCTGTGTGCAGTACTGTAAAAGATCACAAATTCCAGCATCTGATAAGGTATACCCTTTGACAGACGAGCTTCTCAAGCCTAGTTTTGCTGCTAGTTCTGGCACATCTTTTTATGAGCAAAAATATTAATTTTGTTTTTTTAAGGTGGTCTTTTCCAATAGATTTTGCAAAGTACATGGTTATCCTTATGAAAGGAGCAAGTTCTTAGCCACTTTATATGTGCAGCAGCATGGAAGAGCTCTGATCTTGTTTAGGATTGCTTGTTCCTGATAGAATAAAAGCAGCTTTAAAGAGCAGTTTGGATAAAGCTGGATTTTAATGAAGTTGCCATATTCATAAGGAGTATTACCGAATCCTGAATTCTCTGTTTCCCAAGGAAAGCACAGCAGGTTGCAGTGGAACTCCCATCTGTCGCCAAGCCCAAACAAAATTGGAAGTCGCCTTGTACATGTTCTTGTGGAGCCCGGACATCGAGGCAGTGCTCGTTGCAATGTCCTGTTTCCGGCACCTCTGTGAGGAAGCTGATATCAGATGTGGGGTAGATGAAGTCTCTGTGCATAACTTTTTGCCAAACTACAATACTTTCATGGAGTTCGCATCTGTTAGCAATATGATGTCAACAGGTAAGAGTCGTGGAGCAGGGAAATACCTTTGTGCCTGTGTAATGAGACTGTTGTTTGTGTTTTAGCTTTAAACAGGTTGAGATTCTTGATTGGATTGCTGCTCCTGTTTTCATTAGAATATCTTAATCATTGGAGTCACTAGAAAGAGCTGGGAACTTGGGTGACTGAGTTCATGATTTTAAAGTGTAATAAGAAGAATCCTTTTCTGAACACGTTAAGGGGGTGTGTTCCTCTGTTAATAATTTAATTATTATTACTTCTAAAGATCTCATAATTAATGTGGGTGGGTTTTTAAAAATCATGGTTAAATGTACTGTGCCCCTTTGCAGGTAGAGCAGCTCTTCAGAAGAGAGTGATGGCGTTACTGAGGCGTATTGAGCATCCGACTGCAGGCAATACCGAGGTAACCTTTCTGAGTTGATGTAGTCTTTGCATGCATATTTCTTGAAAACAGAAAATACTGTTGCTGCAAGTGGTCTTGAAGTTAAATTGTGACACAATCTTCCTCTTATTTTAGGCCTGGGAGGATACACACGCAAAATGGGAACAAGCTACAAAACTAATCCTTAACTATCCAAAGACCAAAATGGAAGACGGGCAGGTGACTATGAACTTTTCCATAGTTTCAACCCTTAGAAATTCACAGTAATTCTTTCAGCTTGCTTATTTTAAGGAATTGGATTTGAATCTAGAACTTGAGCTTTGTAGGCAGACTCCATCAAAGCATCCCAGAAAAATACTTGTAAGCAGTCATTGACTGTGCTTACCAAGAAGTAATTTGACTTGAATTGCTGTAAGAGAGGTAGAGGCTGAGCTTACAAATCTGAGTAGTGAAAACTCTGGACTACTACTAGGGAAATGGTGAAATCCCTTTCACTGGAAGGTTTTAAACAAGCTGCTGCCTATCATGATTCAAACACACTTTATCCTGGTGCAGAGCAGGCCGTTCAGCCCCTTTCAGCCTTGCTTTGTCAACTTATTTATAAGCAGAGGCTCTGTGTAGGTCTCTGTTCTGCTGTTACAGTAAACTGTAAAACGGGAATCTTCAGAAAGCCTGGAATTGTAAACGCAGGACGTGTCACAGAATACTTTAAACTTCTGCTCTCTCTCCGTTGGTTTTGATTAATTGAAACAATTTCATCTCCTGCCATTCTCTTTCAGGTCACTGAAAGTCTGCATAAGACAATTGTGAAGAGACGAATGTCGCATGTCAGTGGGGGAGGCTCCATAGACTTGTCTGACACAGACTCTCTTCAGGAGTGGATCAACATGACAGGGTTCTTATGTGCCCTGGGAGGAGTGTGCCTGCAGCACCGCAGCAATGCAGGGCTGGCCACCTACAGCCCACCCATGGGCCCAGTCAACGAGCGCAAGGGCTCCATGATATCCATGGTGTCCACCGAGGGAAACACGGAGACTCCTGTCAGCAAGTTCATTGATCGGTTATTGACTCTCATGGTCTGTAACCATGAGAAAGTGGGACTTCAGATACGGACTAACATTAAAGATCTGGTGGGTTTGGAGTTGAGTCCAGCACTTTATCCAATGCTGTTTAACAAACTGAAGAACACCATCAGCAAGTTTTTTGATTCTCAAGGACAGGTAAAATGTCGATACATTCCTCCTCGTTTGTGTCTTAGTTGAAAGCATCAGTCATGTCTTTCACTTAGGAATTGACACTGAAACCTATTGGTGTCCTGTACAAAAGACCTTCAGGCATTGGGATTGAATTTTCCAGCGTGCATTAATAATTACTGTGTTTGTGATTCCAAGCTATGGTTAACATGGAGTAATTGAAAGCATTCTTGAATTCTTAGTGAACTCTGAGTACAGAATCTGTGAGAGTGTTCTTGGTGTCATTATGGCTTCTAGTATTGACAGACTTAGTCTTGGCATGTGTTGGGATTCTTTTGGCTAGGTGGTAACTGGAAAATGCTTGTACATGAGATTTTTGCAATGCTGCAGTATATTTAGTACCCTTTATTTTTTATTTTTATGTGTGTGGAGAACTAAGACCAGCGTTTTCTTTCTGTAGGTTTTGTTAACTGAGACCAACACCCAATTTGTAGAGCAGACTATTGCTATAATGAAGAATTTGCTTGACAATCACACAGAAGGGAGCTCAGAACACCTTGGACAAGCTAGTATTGAGACAATGATGCTAAATCTGGTTAGGTAAGAAATCCTATCCACCTTACTGTACAAAGTAGTTCTTGTAGCATTCCTGGTTTCCTTTCTGTACAGTGGTGGTAGTGGTTAAAAACCAGCTGAAGGGTGGATTTCTGCCCAGTCTTACACCAACAGAAAACTTCTTTAGCCAGATGAAATTTGTTGCTTGTCTTCAGTTGATACAGGGCCTGGTTTTCTGGGAGGGGGGAAACAAAAGTAGCCCAAACACTTGATTATGCACATCTGCTGGGTCAGCCAGGTTGCAGGTTCCAGCATGGAGCTGAAGAGAATTATCAGCAGTGTGAGCCTTGGAGTGTGACATAGCATTAAATATTTCGTTACTCTCTTTGCCTTTTTTTCTCCAGGTATGTGCGTGTCCTTGGAAATCTGGTGCATGCAATTCAAATCAAAACTAAGCTCTGTCAGTTAGTAGAAGTAATGATGGAAAGGAGAGATGACCTTTCCTTTTGCCAAGAAATGAAATTTAGGTAGGTATTGAATTATGCATCTTCTAGGACAGTGTAATGTGGACAAGTGTAATTGTGTTTGGTTATATGGTTAAAAATATAAACCAAAACCATTCTCACCTATTCCTGCTATAGGGATGGTTTCCCTGTCTCTGGCTTCAGAATAATTTAGAGCCTGGTGCTGCATTAAAATGTTATTCTTATAGTGGGGATACTAAACACGTGTAAAAATGTGTGTGATGCAGACTGGGGAATTACTTGGTATAATAAAATCAGTTCATCTTCAGTGTGTGGTCATTCAGTTTACACTGAACTTGTGATAATTAAGAATGATGCCAGCAGTAGTGAGTGTGTTTGAGGGAAGGGCTATTTAAAAACAAAACCAAACCTCCTCCAAATCTAAAGCAGTATATCTGTATGTAACAGGAACAAAATGGTCGAGTATTTGACAGACTGGGTTATGGGAACATCTAATCAAGCAACAGATGAGGATGTGAAATGCTTGACAAGGTAAGAAAGAATACACTTAAACTGTTCCTAACATTGCTAACAGTGTTCCAGGTGGCATTTCATATCCACAGAGGAGCTGGCACATGTGGACTGCCATAAGTGGTAGTAATTTGAAGGAAAAGAAAAAGGCAGAAACATAAGTTTTGGAGAGCATCAGCAGAATTATATTTAGTGTTAGCCTTAACTAAGGTTTTTATGATTGTTTTGTTTGTTTAACCATTGAGTTTATTTAATTCCATTTAATATCCTTTCTGATTTAGCATTAGGACTGAATGCTTTATTTTGCTGTATCTTTATATGATGCATTTTGAATAAAATCATCAAACACGATAGTGTTGAATTTGTACTTGACTGGGTTTTTTTTCAGTGGCAAATTTGGGTTGCAGTTGTTGTCCTTAGGAGATACATTGCTTGAACCTGTACCACAAAATGTAATAGGCGTTTTTCTGATAGACAGAACTTTACTAGAATAACTTTATTCTTAATGATTCTTTTCACCTTCAGTTGGATATATAAGGAAAAAAGACCTGGTACTGGATGGGGAAATTATCAAGGGGGAGGAGAGACTAATTCTGCTGAACTGATTCACAGCTTCTTATAATTCTCTTTTTCAGAGATTTGGACCAAGCAAGCATGGAAGCAGTGGTCTCTCTCCTTGCTGGGCTTCCACTACAGCCTGAAGAAGGAGATGGTGTTGAGTTGATGGAAGCGAAATCTCAGTTATTCCTTAAGTAAATAGTGGCTTTGAACTCTTTTTCTGTACAATGATGTGAAGTACATGCACTGTGTGGCACTTACTGAACGCTATGGTTTTTCTTGTAGCAGAGATTATTTCATTATCTGAACAGGAATTCTCTTTTATATATCCCATCTCACAAATCTCTGCCTCCTAGGTTTATGCAAACAAGTTCATTTAGAAAATAATTATAAAATTTGTTTTTGTTTCAGCTTAATGCAGGTGTGTGCTTAATTCCTGGAGGGACTAGCTTGCTTTGGTATTCTGTTTTTACCATGAAACCATCTCTTACAAGACATCTGTTTGTAAAGGCACACCTGTGGAGTTCACTTGCTTGGTTTGAGAACACTTCCATACATGTTAGGACAGTGCCTTCTGGTGGATACCTCACATCTGAAAGTTTGGACTCTGCTACAAGAAAGATTACTTGGGGCAGTTAGGAGATTTTTGGGGAGAGAGTCTTGTTGTGTATTTGCTCCTGTATGCACATCATTTCAGACAGCTGCCTTTGCAGGATCTATTTTACTTATGCAGCTTTTTTTCTTTAGGTACTTCACGCTGTTCATGAACCTTCTCAATGACTGCAGTGAAGTTGAAGATGAAAGCGCTCAGACAGGAGGCAGGAAACGTGGGATGTCTCGCAGACTGGCCTCGCTCCGGCACTGCACTGTCCTTGCTATGTCCAACTTACTCAATGCAAATGTGGACAGTGGTCTTATGCACTCAATAGGTAATGTAGTTAGAGATCACTGTGTATAAATGAATACATAATGAAGACATTGGTATTTCATTTATTTTTACATCTTCCTTAGTAGTTCTGGGTTTTTTTGATCAGGCTTGGGCTATCATAAAGACCTCCAAACAAGAGCTACGTTTATGGAAGTCCTCACCAAAATTCTGCAGCAGGGAACAGAATTTGATACCTTAGCAGAAACAGTGCTAGCAGATCGGTTTGAGAGATTGGTGGAGTTGGTTACAATGATGGGTGATCAGGGGGAGCTTCCTATTGCTATGGCTTTAGCCAATGTGGTGCCTTGTTCTCAGTGGGTAAGTTGATTCACACATTTTATTTCCTACATTTTTGAAAAAGTTAAGACTTGAAATAAAAAATAATGCAATTACTAAAGGTCTAACAACAGTCTGCTGAAGAGATTAGATCTACCATGCATTATAGATAGCCCTGCTTTAGAGGAGTACTGGATCTGGTTGTCAGGTCCTGGTTATAAGCTGCATTTTATAGTAAACTTCTAGTTAATGCCTAGGAATAATTTTATACACACTTATTGTAATAAATGCATTTGTTTGGGCTGGTTATTTAGTACAGATAGTATCTGCTGTATTGCAGACAAACAGAACTGTATTTGCTCCTCTGGGTTTTAGCAAGATGAATTGGGCTTTGTTACATAGCAGAATAACTGCTTATCTATCTGCGCAAACCGTTATGAATTTGCATGACTGGATATCATGAGGCAGATTTGTAGACAAGCAGTAGCATAGGAGAGATTTAAAGAGATTGTGTGTGCTTAGTTTGATATTTGTATGCAAGACTCCTCAGCAAAGACTGCTCAGTGTTTTTGCCTTGGTTCTTTGTTTTGTACTTGGCCTGGCTCACTGCTAGTCAGGTTAACATCTCATTGCTTCTTTTAAGGATGAGCTAGCTCGTGTCCTGGTCACGCTCTTTGATTCCCGGCACTTGCTCTACCAGCTCCTCTGGAATATGTTTTCAAAGGAAGTTGAGCTAGCGGACTCCATGCAGACACTCTTCCGAGGAAACAGCTTAGCCAGTAAAATAATGACTTTCTGTTTTAAGGTAAGTTACCGAATCTTCCTCCTGCTACAGATCACCTCAGTAACAGGAAACGTTGAGTAATGTAAAAATACAAAACTACCACTGTATAAATTGATCTGTTTCAGAAGGGAAACTACGGTATAGAAACACCAATATAACAGAAAACTGGCTTGTGCCAAAGCAAATCGAGTGTTTTCAGGCTCTTTTAACACAGAATTGTGGAGTGTTCCTGTGAATTTTGATGTTAACCTGGCACCCATTCGGGTTTTCTTTCTACACAGGTGTATGGTGCTACGTATCTGCAGAAGCTTTTGGAGCCTTTATTAAGGACTGTGATCACATCCTCTGAATGGCAGCATGTTAGCTTTGAAGTGGATCCAACAAGGTTTGAGATTCAAGGGGGGGAGCAGATGTATTTCTAATCATGATTCCCAGGCATTGGAAATATAAGAGGATTCCTTTTTCCTCGTTGCTAATACTTTTCTCATACTGTTATGCTTTTCCACTCCTCACTTTAACAGACACATAATTGTATCTGCAGTCCTTATACCCAGAGCTGCCCAACAAAGTGGAATGAGTTTTGCTGCATGTCCTCTAAACCCTGAGAGAGTAAGGAAGACAGGGAGCTCTTGCAGGGCCTCTTCTACTTGCTGCTTCATACTTTTATGTAGGCCACCAATATGGGGATTTCCTGCAGTACCAGAAAGCATCTGCTTTAAGTCATTGAGTTAGTTACAGAAGCAAGTTGGAATGAATGCATGTTGTGTGTCATGTTTTTGCTTTAGTTTCTCTTCTGTCACTTCAAAACTTGCATTCAGCAGCTGCTGCTCTGTTGCTTTGAATTAACTCCTGGGAAAACTCTAAGTATTTGTCTTTGAAGTAACTTACCAAAAGCGAGGCCTTCTGTTAATAGTTAACTCTCAAATATCTGTGTCTACCTCAAGAATTCCTTTCAGAGAAACAATCATCAAATTGATAATGCAGTTATCAGTTGGGATTATGTTATGCATGTCTTTGCATGGAACAGTGGGAGAGAATCCCACTTAGAGCTGCCTGGTTGTTGCTGAGTTTTAAGTGACCTTATGTTTGTACTCTGGTTTAAAATACTTGGATTGAATGATGGAAACTTGTGTGTGAAAGATCATAAAGATTTCTGTTTGCCCTGGAAGTAAGTTACTACCAAACCTAATACAGCTAATAGCATTCGCTTGATTGCTGGCCATACATGTGTGGGTCTGTTTCAGGCTGGAGCCCACGGAGAGCCTTGAGGAGAACCAGAGGAGTCTCTTGCAAATGACAGAAAAGTTTTTCCATGCCATCATAAACTCCTCTTCCGAGTTCCCACCACAGCTCCGCAGCGTGTGCCATTGTTTGTACCAGGTATGCTGGCACTGGGTGCCTGCCCAACCCCTGGGCTTTGCTCTTTGTAGCAGTAGCAGTTTGGAGCTTGGGCCAGTACTGGGTGCACTGTGTCATTGTTAAAGACCATTTTCAGATGTTCGTTAAATAGCAGGGATCTAAACATAGGGACTCTGCTCTGTCTCACTCCTGTTGCTCTGTGTAGCAGCTCAGGATCAGGTTGCTGAGTCCAGAACACTTACAGGTCTGTCTGCTCTTTGTGTGTTTCTGATGGATTTAGCTGCTGCTAAAAATGCCAGTGGGGGAATACTCCTGCTGCCCTCAGGGCCCATAGGAAATACAACTTCTAGTCCTGTTGGAGGGTCTTAGAGGAGAGCTGTGCATGGCATTGTGTTTGAGCTGTGGTCTCAGTTAAGTGGTCTGAAGAGCTGCTTTTGGCCTTTCAGCCATGGAGTCTGTATCTCAGGTCTGAGGTGAAGCAAGGAAAAGAGATTTTCAGAGTTGTGTGAACTCATTGTGCGCAATAACAGATTCCACCCAGGGCAGCCTGGTTGTATTCTTGCAGTGAAGCTATATTAATAAATACAACAGCTGTAATTCTCAGAACTTGCAAGTGGGAAACGGTGAATTTTGTGTGGTGACTGTTGTGGATCTTGGGTTGTTACCGTGAGCTGTTGGAGTGAATTGGGCATGTGAGTGACGTGTCCAGTGTAAGTTGTCTAAATGGCTTCTAATGCCATCAGTTTCTTTTCCTGACAGTGGTTGGGTTCAGGTTGGTTTGGGGTGATTTTGGTTTGTTAGGATTTCTTTTTGTTTTAAACTGGGAAATGAGGGGTGAGATTGGTTTCCTTCAAGTTCATATGGCCACAGTATACAGGCATTGGCTGGGAATATATTTGAGTGTTACTGAAGATGTCACACACAGCCTTGGGTGTTGCTTCTGTTACTTGATGCTACGTTATCCCTATGTCTTTTCCTAGAATTGCTTTTATATGCTGGGATGTATCAGCTTTATTTCCACTTCAGGGATACATTGCTAGAAATTCTTTTCTATGCAAACCATTTTTAATTCCTACATGAAATGGGATTCCTAAAAGGTACTCACCAGTGGCATTGCCAGAGGTTGTCCTATGGAAGCATATCAGTCTGTTTGCTTTACTTTTTAATTGGTAACAAGGATAGTTTGTTCCTGAAAGAGGTGGTTTACTGGTAAATAACTGATGCTCAGCTTCAACACATATTACTGTTTCTAGTAACACCTGTATTTGTATACAAATAGTGTAGCAATTATTCCTGTACATTGAAATTCCAGAGTTTTGTAGAGTCTGAGCTTTATCTGAAAGAAAGTACAATTGAAATCTGATTTTTGGTGGGTATTAATCTACTTTTAATCTTAAGAACCAAAGAGGTGATTTTAATAAGGTAACTTCATATTTGTAAGGTGAACGTGTGCCATCCCAAGCAATAGTGTAAGTCTAAATGGGACTGCATTTTGTGGTCTTTTACACTTGGATTATTAAAGTAAATGTATGTGTTCTGTAACTGATTTGTAGCTAATTTTAATCAGCGTAGTAACAGCATGGCAGCAGTTCATTTAGTTGGATATTGGGTCTACACTGGGTGTTTCCATTACCAGAACAGAGCCCTGTTTTCATCTGGGAACATAATGTAACAGTTACTGTGACAGATGTGCCCTGGCTCATTCTCAGGTAACGTATGTGAGAGTTATGTGGTCATGAACAAGCCTGATCCCAGTAACTCATACAAGGAATTTGTGCTGGATGCTTCATAAAACCCCCACAAAAAGATGTGATTTTTCTTAACAGAGGGTAATTCTACTTGCTTCCAGTGCAGCAGCCAATGGATAGAGAACGGATATGACTGCTCAGAGCTAGCTCTGTCGAGTTTGCACAGTCAGAAATTTGGCAGAGGCACCTTTGATTAAATCTTAATAGGTCCTGCACAAATTGGAGCTATTTAATGTAGCGGGGTTAGCAGCAGAGCTGGCCCTGGCTGGCTTTCACACTCCCAACCCACCTTTCTTTTTACTCTGTCACATTCTAAAGTTGTAGAAATTCTCTTCCAGTTCCATTCCATGTGATATTCTAAAGGTGATTTGAACTGTTGCTCTCAAACTGCTCGCTATGGCTAGCTGTCTATTGATAGAGGTGGTGCTTGCTTAGGGGTGCTAATTCATTGTTACAGCTGCTAGAGAGGATGTGGGATCAGGCACAGAGGCCAAAACATACCTCTGAGCAGGGGAGCAGAGCCCAGCGCTGGTGTTCTATAGCTTTGCTCAAATCCTGATGGGAAATAATGAGAGAGTGTGATGCTTCTTGGTGGGTCCCTTTACATTTAGATGCAATGCAGAACTAAGCACCAATGAAACAGTCGGATACCTTGATTTCAAAATCTCTAATAAATTAATGTAGCCCCGCTGGCTTTTTTCTTCCTTTTTCCACAGAGTGTTTTGTGGCAGTGTTTAGATATCAAAGTAGTAATAACCATGGTGATTCAGATCTCCCTAAATTGAAGGACACACAGAGAAACATTGGGAAGATTTAAAACTCTAAATTTAATTTAAAAGTAATGTGTATTTCAAAGGTATAATGCTTTACTATTTTTCCTATTAACACTATTTGGGGATGGTGAAATACATTTAAAAGCTGAATATACCATTTAACGCCCAATATCGTGTATCATGAGCACATTAATGTGGTTTGACGTTTAATCTAGCCAGAAATAGTAGAAATGATTGAAACGCAACATTTGCTTGTTTTGTATTTAGTGCTCTGTAAATAAGATGTAATAAAATCGTGGAATAAAAACTCCATCATCAGTCTTTAGTTGATATATTTCATTTTCTGTTGGTTATGTTTGTTACATTTTACTGTGTAATTTATGTACAAGTCAACATTGGTTTTTTGTTGCTGTATGTAGTTGGTGCTGTGACTTGTTTGTGCTCATCTCTGTTCTGTAGGCAACTTGCCACTCTCTACTGAATAAAGCTACCGTAAAAGAAAAAAAGGAAAACAAAAAATCAGTAAGTTTGGAGACCTTTTTCTTAGCCATTTCTTTCAAAGCACAACAGAAACCTTTTGCTGTTTGTTCAGAACATCTTCACTTCAGTCTATTTGACCTCACTGTAAAATCATTCTACTAATTCTGGCACAAAATAGCTTTCATTTCAATTAACACTGGAATTAAGTTCTATTTAAAATATTCTCTGTGTGCCTATTTGAGTAAACAAGAGACATTTTAACGTGGCTGCTTAGTGTTTAATACTCTGGTTCTTCTGCCCTTGCCACCATCTTCAAATTACCAAAAACACAGAAGAAAAATGTACTCTTTGGTTTGGGGGAAAATCTGAGCCTGCTTTAACACTCTGGCAGATAACTTGACTGCAGCTTGCTTCCCGGGGGAAGAACAAGTAATGCATATGGATTACTGAAAAGGAAAGAGCCTTTTATGACCTGTTTCTGATACATTTCGTTTTGTTTGCCTTGTGACTGAGCAATAAAATTCAGCGCTTATATTTATTTACAGAGAAAAGCAGATTTCCCAGGATCAGCGCCTTGCTGGCTAAGAGAGATTGGATACACAGATAGTGATAGTGGTGTCATTAAAAGATAAGACTTAGATGTTGACAGTGACCTCAAAATAAAAAGTATGAATAAAACAGGCAGAATGGAAATTCAGACTTTTCTTAAATGCTCCCTTATTTTTTGCTATAACTGAACAGAATAATAGCCATGTTTAAATGCAAAATCTGTGTGCAAAGTAGTATTTTACAAAAGAATAGTATCAGTAATTGCAGCACAAGGTAACTGTAATGAAGTTCCTATGGAACCAAAGGGATTCTTGGTATATAGTCTATATACTAATGCCTTTACCTGTTTTAAGAAGCATGATTTGAGATTGCACTAGTTACGTGTTGAAGTGTTTCAGTAAAATTGGGTTTAGTTTTTATTTATCTTAAACAATATAACCTAAACTACAAAGCTTGCTAATTTTGTTCTATGAAAGGTAGAATCTGTCTTGTTTTGATTGACTGTTGTTGCTCATAAGAAAATTCATATATAAATGTTGGACCATTCTGGAACCACATGTAGTACGTTTAAAAATATCAGGGAGCTTATCTTTAACTTTCCAAAGTCAAATGAAAGCTATCTAGAAATAGATCATCCTCTTAGTAATATGTAGTTGGTATGCTAAAAATAAAGGAGATTTCTCTTTTCTTACAACATTTTCAGATTATTTTATTTTCCTAGATAGCAATGAATGATGTTTTAAATCTGTAGTTCTTCTATCATATTCCTACTAGGTGATGTTGGACAGTGTTGACAGTAGAACACTGACCGTGCAGCTCTGCCTCAGTCTCTTTCCTCCTTTGGCAAATCTGTTGAGATGTAATGGTTCTGAAGAGTATTTCTACAAAGATCTCCTTCCCCAGCATTTAAAATTCCTCCTGAAGCTTTACAATGGGTCTGGCTGCTGGAGAGGCTCTTGCAGCAATGCTGACATTATAAATGCACAGAGAAAAGACCCACTAATGTAAAACAGAATTGTCTCTATTTGATGGGAAGACTGTGCAGCCCAAGTACGAGCATACAGCATTTGTCTGCTGTACTGTCAGGGTCTGTAACTCTGAAATACACCTTATCTTTGTCCAGCAGCCATTGTAGCAGTTTCACCCTAGCAAGGAGGATGGGTGAAAGCTGCAGTAAAGCCATTTAGTGCCCTGTTGCCCTGATCTGGCTGTCTGTCAAGGCAGGAGAGCCCTGCACAAATGTACTGAGCTTGATCCATGTGGGAAGAGTGCTAAAAGCTGGATTACCCGCGAGGCTTTGCTCAGCGTGCTTTCCCTTTTCCTGAATGCAGAAATATTGTTTGTAATTCTCACCTTCATAGGTGGTTAGTCAGCGGTTCCCTCAGAACAGCATCGGAGCCGTCGGAAGCGCCATGTTCCTGCGGTTCATCAACCCTGCGATCGTCTCCCCTTACGAGGCAGGGATTTTAGATAAAAAGCCTCCACCAAGAATTGAAAGGGGATTGAAACTGATGTCAAAGGTGAATCAATGAATGGTTTTCTTTGGCCGTTTTGTTCTACCTGGTTAAGTTCTGCTCTTTGACCACTGTGACTACCTGCAAGTAGGTAAACTCATAGCTGTTTGTAGCAACCACCCAGTTCATTTAACGTGCAGAGTCTGTACTGAGTTTGCACATCATGACATTAACATTGCAGCTCTCAGCAGTGTAAGTATGAGGAACAGTCTGCATGGAAAAAAGTGCTTTGCCAAAATGCTGTGTAAGGTGACAGAAAGCCTTCTGCTCCTCACTGGAGCTTCTCACCTTGCTTCAGATCACAAACCAATGTTACTTGGAGCACAGTGAGAATAATAGCAGCCAGCTATTGGTTAAGTTCATACTGGTGCCAAGGAAGTGATTTTTCCCATCTTTAATCTCATTTGGTGGGGTTTCTTGCAGAAATTTTAAAAAAGGTGTAATGATGGAGTACAAATTCTGTGCATATCACCCATTTAATGTTGCGAAATTACAGTTTTCTTTAAAAAGGCATTGCCTGTACGTGTCTGCAGCATTTCCAGAAGAAATAGTTGACATGTAATAAATGGGTTTGAAAGGTGATTTGTTTTCCTGGTCTAAACCCAAATAAGGTTTATAAATGAGGGAAGTAAATTTCTAGTATTAAAAGTATTTGAAAGAAAATACTTTGCAAGTGAACATGTTTTGAGTTTCTTGGCTTATTGGTCTTTTCTTGTCCTGGGGTTTCACAGCAAGTTAAAATGAGTTTTCTGACAGTGAAGTTACACTAACGACCACAACACTTAGTACATTCAACCTCTTTACCGTCTTTTTATGATGTAGATTCTTCAGAGCATTGCCAACCACGTCCTGTTTACAAAAGAAGAACATATGCGGCCTTTCAATGATTTTGTAAAAAGCAATTTTGATGCAGCACGAAGGTAAGGCCTTGGGGGAGCTTGCGCAGAGAGTGTTGGGTGTAGTGTTCTTCCAGCCTTTTAATTGACATCGAGTCCTGTTGGCAGATTTCCTTGCCATGCTTATGGTTATTACTGGTTTTGAATCTAGGTTCTTCCTTGACATTGCATCTGATTGCCCAGCGAGCGACACTGTCAATCACAGCCTGTCTTTCATCAGCGATGGCAACGTGCTGGCTTTGCACCGGCTGCTGTGGAACAACCAGGAGAAAATTGGCCAGTACCTTTCCAGCAACAGGTAAGTCTTCACACCCATAGTGAAGGGAGTTGCTGATGGGAAGCAGCTGTAGATGTGTGTGTATGAATAAAGAAGGACTTCTAAGTAACACGCTGTTTCTAGGGACCACAAGGCTGTTGGAAGACGACCTTTTGACAAGATGGCCACTCTTCTTGCCTACCTTGGTCCTCCTGAGCACAAACCTGTGGCAGACACCCATTGGTCCAGTTTAAATCTCACAAGTTCCAAATTTGAAGAGTTTATGACGAGGTAATGAGATTGTGTGAACTTAAAAGTTGTGAATAAAGAGGGTTTGGGGTTTCTTTTTTTATATAGTTATTTTTTACGAGGCTGTTGTTGAAGCTGATGTCAATGTATTCCTTTTCAGGCATCAGGTACATGAAAAAGAGGAGTTTAAAGCGCTGAAAACATTAAACATTTTCTACCAAGCTGGGACTTCGAAAGCTGGCAATCCTGTCTTCTACTACATTGCTCGGCGGTAAGCAATCTTCCACCTTTCTTGTCTGGAATAAGCATGTAAAGTCAAAAGGATCAAGTGTGTGTAATTTCCCCAACTTGGTAACAAACGGTCTGAAAATAGATGATCTGTCACATTTTGGTGACAGTATGATTTCTGCATTGGCCGAATATCAAGTGCAGGTGAATCTGCTTTTCATAATCATGCGTAAGGGCTGTTGATGATGAGAACTGTGAGGTTTTATGAACGGTATCTTCATGCCCTTCACTTTCAAACAACTCAGCTGCTTTGGTTTGCATCCTTATCTGAGATAGCACAAGACCATTAGCATCATGAAATGCTGACTGGGATTTGGGTGTGCGATATTCCTTGGAAAAAGGTGCCAGCTCAGTGGGTGACTGTTTGTACACAGATGCTTGAGAGTAAACCTTTCCAAGTCTGGGCAAGCCACTAATGGGCCCTAATAAAGCCAGTGTATAGATGATAAAGGAGGATGCCTCTTGTTTATCATGTCACTAAGTGCTGAGTGCAACTACAATAATCACAGTGTTGTTGTGTATGGGGTGTACATTGAAATTTGGCTGCGAAACACATCCAGAAGAGAAATTGCCTGTTGAGACAATATGTGTAAAATTGGAAAAGGAGAACATTAAACACTAAGGACTGCAAAGTACTTCTTAATTATCAGTTTACTGGAGCTGATCACACAGTGAGATAGCACTCATATAAAAAATGACAGGCAACTATTTCATCTTCTGACTTGCCTGAAATAAGTTATTTCATCTTCATCTTTGGTGCTTTGTCATCTTTCCTACTAAGAGGGATGTGGCCAAGTGGTGCCTATTTGTGGTGTTTATCTTGTGGTTCTGAGCCTGACGTCGTGTTTAAAGGTGTGAAATGTGGAAGGACCGTTTGGACCAGAGCTGCCAGGATGTTTGAGGGCTGGCAGCAGGCTGGGGGCTTTTGGTGGGGGTTTTTGGGGGGGTAGATTGAGATCTTGTTGCTAGGACATTGCTGAGTCATTTCACTGATCCCTCTGTATGGGTTTATACCCTTCTTGTGCTGTGAAATTTTAATTCCTTCTGTCATTCTTTCTTCACATTTTGTTTCCTGGGCAACAGCCTGGCTTCCGAAGCCAGTGTTCTCCTGGCTTTAATCTCCACACTGTTAAGAAATGATCAATAAATATTGATCCTGAAGTCCTGCCATTGAGTTTTAAAGCTGATCCCCAGCTAATTAATAGGAACGCAAACCTCTGAGTTACTGCTTCAGAGCGCAGCAATTTTAACCTTTCAGAAGCAGCGTGTTGCTGTTGCACCGTGTGCCAGACCTTTTTTTTGGGTGTTTTGAACGTTGTGCTGAAATGCTAAATGGTGGTTTTGGAAAAGGGAATGTCACTGGGAATAGATGGTTTGGTATTTAACACGGAGTCACTGACCAGCGTGTTTAAAACCCGGTGGCACCGGATTCACATCTGTGTCCATCAGTTTCCTTTCAATCTGACTGCACTGTTGCCAAGCAACAAGTGCACGACTCCCACGATTCCCAGCCCACTCCCTGTGCCGATATCACCTCATTTGTATTCCAGAAAAATACCAGGAAACCCAAATCACAGTCTGCTTGGTTGGAAACAGTCTCAGTAAGAGCCCTCCTGCTTGCACCGACCCCAGGCAAGGTTTGAGTGGAGGGCATGGCCCTGGGACTCGGGATGCCATCTTGCCTTGAAACCCATCCACGGTTGTTTTATATCCTAGCTTCCCAATCCTGAGTGTGTGGAAGTCCTGTGCATTTGGAAAACCCCACAGCCCCATTTGCACTTCCAGGCTTTGAGCAGCATGCTCAAGACTTTGAAGTCATCCAGTGTGGGGACTCGGTTTGCCCCAAGCACCTTCTGGAAAACAGTGTTTTTTCATAGCATCCCCTAAATCATCTCATTGTGGGTGAAACATTCATAGAGCGTTTAAAGCCGATTTCAGGCAGGATTTTTGCATGCAGTAGAATTTGCTGTCCTGTATTGCATTGTTCAGCAAAGACACGTGGAGTATTTGATGTCATTTCCTCAGCTCGAGGCAGCTGAGTCACAGCCCCTCATTTTGTGATGTCTGTCCTACCTTGCAAGCGAAGCTGCTCTCAGCTGTGTGGGATGAAGCCATATGGATGGGATAATTCTAGGAAATACCTAGTTCTGAACACAGTAAGCAGGTTGATGCTGTTTGGAGCCAGTCAGTAGTTGGCAAATACATAGTCCAAAGAGGGTGGCAGGCAGTGATGGTTTTTAATCCTGATCCCAGGGAAAATAGGTGGAACTTGTGCAAGTGGGCAGCTCTCTTGCACTGTTGGTAGCCACTTGTGCTGGCCATTGAAGGTATCATGCACAAGCTGCTTGTGGTGTACGTTGTCTAAACTTTGACTTGGATAATTAATTCTTGTATAATTAAAATGTATATGAAATGTCTTTGGGCTTTTATAAGTCTTCTGCTCTATTAAACATTGAGAGTAATTTCTGAGAGGGAGAAAGAGCTGCCTTTTTCTGCTGGCCTTAAGTGTTTGCAAGTTCTAGATGGTAGGAAGGGGAAGGGCAGACCTGTTACTGTTAACTCATCAGCTTACTAATAATATTAGTGATACATCAGTATCCAAATAATATGATTTGATTTAACCACAGTTTCCCTCTGTAAGAAATGAAGATTGAGCCAAATGTCTGCCTGCAGTGGGTTTGTATAATAAAACAGTACCTGTTCAGGGATGCTGCCACACTTGTTTGGAAGGAAGCACTGTCACAAAATCAGTTCAATACAAACGTAACTTTATTTTTACTGAAATGCCAATGAAATAACTGTACAAATTCGTTGTGTAACATTTACTGTTAGAAATTAAAACACATTTCTGGTTATAGAAATACTGTTCACAATTGGAAAGTTGTGATTTCTCTGGTACCAGTGGTTGTAAATGGTCTACAGCCCTCATTGACACCCAGCAGGAAAGGTAGAGGACTCCAGTGTCGGTAGTGAGGTTTTCTGGGTTTTGCAGCACCTTCATGCTACAATAACTGGAAATTAAATGGCCTGAAATGAATGGAAAACGTTGGATAAAGATTTGTGATTTTAGGTGGATAATACTTTTTCAATGAACTTGTTCTTCAGTTTTCAATTCATGCTGTTTGCAAAACTTCATCTGTAGCATATCGGGTACCTTTGCCACGTTAAGATATATTATTTTCCTAGAGTGGACAGGACCATGCGTGCAACTATTTCTACTCGCTGGTGGTGCAGGTGCCAGGGAGAACAGCATTCATGCTCCCCCGTGGAAAGCAGGGGGTTGGCATGTTCAAGGCCATGGACTGAGTTCAGTTCTTGTTCAAAGATTCCAGGGTTGTTCCAGTGACAACTAATCACTTCATTGATTTGTTACATAACTTGTATTAGAAATTGGCTGAGATTTCATTTTACCGATCAGAAAGTAGTAGTTTGATTTGTGATGTTCTTCTAAGCATCATACATTAACGTTTCAGACCTTCGGATAAAGTTAAGGAGTTCCAGTTCATTAAGTTGTGTAGGTAACTCCTGCTTGTTGGAGTGTCATGGCATTGAACATCTTGTGTTTTCCTCTACTTTTATCTTTCCTCTTTAAATATGGAAAGTGAGAAATAACTTGCCTGCAGCCTCTAAGTCAAGGCAGAGCAAAAAGAGGTATCAGCCCATATCACTTTTCCCATGCTTAGTTAGACCGTGTTGCCTCTCAGTTTACACCCTCTAGCAGACATCATAGCATTGTCATATTTAATTCCTAAATTCAGAACTGTTGTTCTTCACAGTTAAAATATGCTAATACATACGAAGCAAACATAGATACACATGCTAGCAGGTTTTCTCAGGAATAGCTTCTGGTTAGTGGAACAGCAGGTTTAGTGCCTTTATTTTTTCCCTTCCTTTCGCATGTCACCATAACTTACAGAGAATCTGTGCTGCTATATTACAGGAGTTGCTCACTGGCAGGTCAAGCAAGACAATGCAGATATGATACAGGCCTTCTGTTTTTTTCCAGTTGTGTAATGACAAAATCATACATGAAATCAGTACTTAAAATTCGGATGGTTTATTCTGTGCAAGTAAAATGAAAAACGTAATTACAAAATAAGCACATCTTTAAAACCAAACATGAGTTAGTTGCACTCAATTAAGACATTAAAATAAGTAGCAGCTTAGTATCAAGACATTAGTGTGCACTTCTTCAATTAAGAACTGTTATTTTCTCTAGATCGGAGTCAGAACCTTGGATTTCTTGTATTTTGATTCATCACTTCAACTGGAAGTCTGAACTCCAGCTATGTATCACAGGAACAAACTCAGTGATCTCACAAGATACAGGCTCTTAGTCAGTAAACACTGCCACTGCACTAAGCATCATGACACAGAGCAGACACATCTCACAGGTACTTGCTTGGGAGGGCACGTGAGTATTCAAAACGTGTGTAGTGGCTTCCTCCTTCCTTAAGGTAGCAGTTGTGCTTTGAGGCATTTTGGAGTAGTTTGTTGGCATTCCACTGGTGATGCTTAAAGTCAGAGGAGTCGTGGAGGATCCCATGGGAGGCGTCAGGCTGGAGTTCTCATCAGTTGAATCTCTGATGTAGATGGTGTGTGTGGCTGCTGCTTCTTGAGAGCTGACCTGCCTCGTTGTCAGCTCTTCTGGGTAGAGGAGCAGTGGTCGGTCCGTGCTCGTGAACACTACGGTTGGGCTTGAGGTTGCCAAGGTGGCGACTTCCTCAGCTTTAAACTGTTTGTGCATTTTTGTCATCTGGCTTGCCCCTGGAGAAGCAGCTCTGTCTGCTGCCTTCATCCCTTGGATCATGGAGCCGGAGTCCGTCCTTCTGGGAGCCGCTGACGTCGGTGGGGCATCCACCCAGAACACAGAGTGATTGGCACAGGGAGCCCCGACCACGCTGGCCGCGGTTCCTTGCACCCATCTGAGCAAATAAGGGATGTTTTGTTTGTCACTGCAGGCCCAGGGGTTGTTATAAAGTGTTACCACTTGGAGCTGAAGGAGCTGGTCAAAGGCTTTGTCAGGAATGTACGTGAACTTGTTGTTGTGCAGGTAGAGGCTGGTGAGGTGCTGTAGTCTCACCAGTGTTCCCGGAAGTATCTGGGACAAGAAGTTGTTGGATAGATCCACGGTCTCTATGTTGTAGGGCATATTGGTTGGAACCGTCCACAGTTTGTTGCTACTGAGATTGAGAAACTTGAGACTGCTCAGGGTGTTGTTGATCAGAACAGCTCTTTCCACCATGTTCCTGGAAACATCGAGCACTCTGAGGTTCCACTGGTAAGCTGTGTCAAGTTTCTGAAGAACTTTAATGTTGTTGTTTATGGCATATAATTCCCATAAGGACTTGGGCAGGTGAGCAGGAATGTTCTTGAGCCAATTGTTTGAAATATCAAGGGTCCTCAAATTGGTGAATCTTGTTAGCTGATGGTCGAGATCTACAAACTGGTTAAAGGATAGATTTAAATAGGTGATGTTGTCCTGAAGTCCCTGTGGCAGCACAGTTAAGTTTCTGGCTGAACAGTCCACATTCCTGTCGTTTCCTGAGCATGTACAGTTAGAAGGACAGATACCCCAAGCAGTGGGTGTGAAAAACAGAAGGACCAGGAGACAGGTAGATAGATTCAGTATCTGGTATTCCATTGTTGCCTGAAAACAAATACACCAAAATGACACCCTTTAAATCCATGTAGATGTATTTTATTTGTGGTTAAGGGCTGTCTCTGCAATGGCCACTTGCAGGAGAAATGAAGTAAAAACATCAAAAACCCCTTTGTGGCATGGTCCTTTTTAGAATTGTTCAAGAGAGACTTTACAAAGCATCCCTTCATAGACTGTCATGTTGTCTGGCAGAATGAGACTTGTTTTTTCATCTCCCTTTCCCCCTCAAGCTCAAATGAGGGCTTTCTTCCGAAAATGCAAGTCCCTTCCAAACGTTATACAATGTCTGCTTCTTGTTTTTAGTGATTTCAAGCCTATATTATGTTTGGAATAATGTGTTCTTTTATACAGGATGAAAAAATGGCTGTCAACTGGATCTGCTTTACAAATCTCTGCAGTAATGTAGCATCCCCCCCATACATGCATCCTGTTTGCTTAAGTAGAATTGGTTAAAAATACATCTTAAATTGTTCGGAATTCAGTCTGAAACCCCAATTCCATGCTAATGCTAACATGCACGTTGTTATTTTCCCTTATTATAGTGGTAATGGCATTCTCAAAGCTGGTAGCACATGTTTGGAAGCTGAATTAATGTTAGTAAGAAATCTCTGACGCTGCAGCAAATTTCTGGTGCAAGCATCTATCATCAACTGAGAATTTCGTTCTTATTCCATCTCGGGTTCGGGAGCAGGGTTTTGTGATTAAAGACAAAAAAAGCCCCAACTTACCGGGATCCTTCTGCAATATCAGCACATCGTTCCTGGGAAAGATGGGAGCTTAGAGGTCGCCTTGTTCTGGAGAGTAGCTCCAGTTGCTGCCTGGGTTGTGCCTCTTCAGCTGCATCGTATTGCTGCTGGCCGGGCTCTGCAACCACCTGATCTGCTCGACACGGGGACTGCAGCGCTGGCACTGACTCTCTTCAGTGCAAAGGGAGCATGTTCAGCAGCACGCTTGGGGTTTATAATTCCAGTTAGTTAACTTCCCCATCTCTGTGCTTTACGCTGTGTTAACGCCTCACAGCACATGCGAGATCCCTTCAGAAACAGCACCGAGTGCAGTTCCTGTCGGCTGCTTCAGCTCCAGCTCCGATTCCATTTAACTCTTCCTATTTAAAAAGTCACATTGTGATCTTTCTTTCCCTTCTGTTAACCCCTCCTCCTGTAACAAGGGTTAGTGGTAATTTAGGCTTCTTGCCTGTAGCTTTTTTTATGCTGCTGTGCCAGAATATCCTTCCCTCATTTTAAGCCACCCCGTGCTCTGCTCCTCAGCTCAGTCTGTCACTGCTCTGTCAGGTAGGGAACACCCCAGCCTGTGGGGTTGTGCAGATCTCTGGAGGAATTTGTTATCTGAATCTATCAAAATAATATGGGAAGAGTGGGTACAGTTTATAATGCTGCTAATTCTAACACGATGCAACAAGCCTGAAATCCTTATGTCATTGGGATGCTGTTCTTTAGGTGTATGCAATCGCACAGCATATATAAACGGTAAGAAGAATCTTATCCTATGCCCATGGCATGCACAGCAGCCTGGAACTGCTTTGTGCAGCTGATTACTTTATTCAGCAGGAATTTAAACATTTTAATCTGTATTGGTATAATGTGTGCAAACGTGTGCTCTGTGCAACATCCACAAGTACGTTCCCTCCCCAGGCAAACTCAGAACTACAAACTCTTTGCCCCTGTGCAGGGCTGGCATGGAAAGCTGCCCTCAGCACCTAGCAGCTTCTTTCCATAAACCAGAACATTCAGTGCTGGTTGACAAAATATGGAATGAAATGAATTTACCTCTGAGACCACCCTCCTGCTTCCCACCAGAAAGTCACTGTGCCACTCACCGTGGGTTTAGAGGGGACAATGAGCTTTGCTTGTGCCCAGGGCCCATCAAACACTGAAACACCTTGAGTTAGAGGCAGTGTGGCATCCACACAACACTAAATTAGTTGTAAAGTTCTATTAGGAATAGTGAGTGCATCCTGAAAACAGTGCTCCAGAGGAAGGAATTAGTGAACATGCACAACTATTTCTGCTAATCATTTGCTGAGTGTTCTGCAAAATGTCTCTGCTTTACCCATAAAAACCAGAAGTATCGAGGTATAAGGCAGCCTTCTGAGCTAGTTCTTCAGGTGGTTGGAGCCATTTCAGCATGCTGGTGACCACTGTGTTAACTGTTTTCTCGCCCTGTTCTCTGCTTTACCCAACCATAATGTGATGGGATTGTTGATGGTACATCCAAAAGCTTATTGGTAATATTTGATCTAAAGGAAATCTCATTGATTTTAGCAAAGAACAGCTGTTCAGAGGGTTTACTTACAATAGCTGTAAGCCGTTGTTATCCAGTCACACATGGAAAATGGCTTTGGTTTTGAATTCAAAGCTTTGTGTCTAAGCAAACAGTTGTACTTTGACCAAAACATCTTTGAATTGGAAAGCTTTATTAGAATTCACTTACATTCATTGCATTCACTTACGCAGCCCAGTAGAACAAACCATTTTTAGAAGCCCCAAGTACCTCTAGAGCTGTGCTCTTTCTTGAAAGTTCCGCATCCGTGTATGTTCCATACAGGTATGTACTGGCACACAGAGATGTGCATGCTCTGTTTCTGTGCTCTCCACCATCTGGAATTGCTGGTCCCAGATAACCAGCGGGCACAACCCATATTGTGTTCTGAACTGGTTTGTTTCAGGCAGGAGGAGGTGGTTGCCTTCTGTGAAAGCTGAAGTTAAGAAACGCTGGGGAAATGCCTGTGTTGGGGGCTCCTGTTCCTGCGGGCCTCAACTTCTCCTTTCTTCAGCTGGTTGAAGAGTACCTCATTCAAGACAAACGTGAAGTATGAATTTGAGCACTGTGCAAAAGGTGCTGTGGCTGGGGAAGTGGTTGTGAATCTCTTGAATAAGTAACTCAGGTGGTGGGGGCAATGGTTCCTCTGGTTCCGCGTGAAATTCCCAGTACTTGCTGGGATCTGATCCGTGATGCTTATGGTTCCGTGAGCCAGTCCGGTGGAGGGGGCAGGTCCGGCGAGTCGTGTGAAGGTGCTGGGTGAGGACCAGAGTCTCCTGCACAGCCTGTGGCTTCTGGGATGGGAGCTGGAGATGCCTCTGTGTCGGAAGCTGGACTAGCGGCTGCAGCGTGGTCCTGGGGCGGTGGCGGCAGTTCGCCGTTCTCATTGCAGGTAGTGCAGTCGGGTGGGTGCTCTGAGGCAGTGAGCTCCTGCTGCAGGCCTGGGTCTTGTTTGAATTTCCAAGGCAACATAAATAAAGCAGAGGAACGTTTGGTGGCCTGGTCAGAGTCCATGGGGACCTCTGGTGTGTCTCCATCCGCAAAGGGGGAGCGGCCAGCCCAGTGCGAATAGGCTAGACCTGGCCTCCTGCGGCATTTCCACAGGAGGATTATAACAATAGCTGTTATCATACTAATCAAGATGATGCCGATTATCAGTGCTGCTACCCAGCTTCCATCACTCTCTTCTGTGGGGGCTCCGGGGAACTGAGCTCGTGGTGTTACACCCGGTGCTCCAGCCAGGGCTCCTCCAGCCTTGGGGAAACTGGCTCTGGTTGCTTGCAATGGGTACAGAGGAGCTTTGCCCTCCCTTGGACTCCCCATGATGGGGGTTGCATTTCTTGTATCCATGGAAATGCTTTGAGGTGTTGCTGTAGAAAGGGATTTCCAGATTTCCCCAGAGAGAAGAAGCAGGAGAACGTGGTTGCTGCCTGTTTTCCTGCAGCCTCTTTGATTGTGTCCTCTCCTGTTACTGGGATGAAATAGAACATACTAACATGAGAATTGCATCAGTGTGTTACCAGCCACTGACACCAGACAATCTTCTGTTAACACTACCATAGTGAAAACACTGTCAGACCCCATGTTCCATTTGCATCAGCAGCAGGCTTGTCACTGACTTCACAAACAAGCACGTTTCCAACATTATTGGTCACTGTAATTAAGTGCCTTTTTTGAAGAGAACGCCTTGGTTACTGTTACCTTTATTCACCTCATCAGGAAAAGGCATCAGCAGGGGAGTCCAGCCAGTGTTTCAAACTAACATTTATCAATCATGTAAATGATTATGGACCTGGAGCACTTGCAGCAGCACTGACAAACAGGGTTGTCAGGAGTAAAGGCTGTCTTCTTGTGATGGATATAAGCCAAAACTTAAGTAAAACCTCTTCATGGTTCTCTTCTATTTCCTGCTCTTGCCTCTCCTCAGCAGTTTTGGGTACAGCGTAATAGTTTTTGCAAGTTTGCTAATAGCGATGCTGAAACAGAACCATGTTCTAATGTGAAACTGGTTTTAGAAATAACTCTCTGCATGTGGGGCACTTTCTGTAACGACAAAGATCGTGTTAGTGTGAGGTTGCTGGCATGACACAGGTTTCTCTTTCCTGTACTGTTTAGAGTTCAGGTCTCTCAATATCTCTGTGTCAATGATAAAATGCAGCTACTACACAGAGGGTTTCTATGGGAAGGCAGTGCTGTGCAGTTTGAGCTCAGTTATTAGTTACTCTAGTGGTAGTCATGGGAGGCTGTTTCTGAGAAATGAATATGTATAAATCTTTGTTGGTTTACAAATATGCAAAGTGAAATTCCAGCTGCAACAGTGAAAACACGAGCAGGGAGTTAGTGCTTCCTGAGCACATGGGGGTTTAGAACAGGTAAGAATGATTCCTTTCAATTTTCATTCTGCTCCTCTCTTTCCACTCTAAAGTCACATCATAGGAGTTCATGATAGTTCATAGTAACAGCATCAAACAACGTGCATCCCAAACCCTAATACCTTGAAGACAGACACTGCACAAGAGCTTTGAACACACCCTGCGGTCAGACATAGACAGCCCAGTTCTGTTTCAAACCAAACCAGACAAACACTAACCCTTTCCCTGTTGAAGCTGATTCTTACCTGCACCGTTTATCTTGTGTCAGGCAGGCATGGGCTCACTTTTCTGTTGGAAGCCGGAGGAACATGGACTGTGCTGCAAGTCGAGCAGCTTCAAATGGCTTGTGTTATGTTCTGTAGGTTTCTGCAGCTAAAGAGGAAGTTCAGCAGTGCTTGCTGCAGGAAGTGCCAAGAGTGGGAGAGGTACCAAGAGCCTGGTCTGGGAGCTTGAGTGTTTCACAGCGAACTTTTGAGCCCTGTTGTTTTTATCAGACTCAAATATTTACATGTTTGTGGCTTTAGTTGGGATGTGTTATGTACAAACTCACATAGACTCATTTGCTTTGTTAAAAACAGTTATTGCTACGTGAGTCAAAAGTTATGCAGATCTGGGCTGAATTTGGATCTCACTGATTTAATTTTGGTGCTGGGTTTGGTGTTCTGCTGTGATTATCAGTGGAGAAACAACCTCAGGCTGGTTGCGGTGAGTCATGGCGAGCTCTGATCACAGGGTGCTGGTTTGCACATCTTCATTTGTGCAGTTGCAGTGGAAGGAGATAACTGCAGATTCACCCCTCTCCTGCCCCTGCTCGCCAGGTTATTGTTGTGTGGGGACAGTGTTGGAGCCTGCTGCCATCACTAACAGAGCAGCAGCTTTCCCAATGCCTGCCTTTGTCCATACCTCTGTGTGTCACCCACACTATTTCCCTTTGTCTCCTGAAGCATTTTTGCCTGGAAAGGCTCCCTGGCAAGAAGAAACCCACATCTAATATGTCCTCATGGCATTCTGCAAGTGTATTTCTGCCAGTGCCAAGTAGCTGCTGCCAGCTCCTTCTGCAGCTTCTCCCATCTCCTCCTGCTTTTCCTGTTGTACCACTCTTCTGACTGCACCAGTTCTCTTTTTCTCCCTCTCCTGCAGCAAATCCTGATCCCATGCTCACAATGTATCTCAGTTTCTTTCTTTCTGATTCCTTCACCTCATCCCCATTCTTGTCAACCCTCACTGTCTCCTCCGATCTTTTGCCACAGCTCCCATCACACTGAAGGTTCTTTTTACTTCCTCTTTTTCCTTCCTTCCACTGATGTGATTGTGATTCTTGCTTTTTTTATCTGCTTTTTTCATGACCCTGCTGGTTTATCTCTGTAATCTGCTGCCTACGAGCATCTTACTGCATGCAGTGTCTCACTCTTACAGACCCTTCCCTTTCGGTTCCGTACCCGCCTGGCTGCGAGCAGTTTTACACCAAGTTAGAGTCTCACATCTGCTATCTCAGATGCTTTTTTTAGTACATGCACAGCCTCTGCTGTTGCCCCCTGTGCTTGTGGTCATTCTGGGGAAGCAGAAGGTGACTGCAATGCAGCATCCCCCTGCACTGCCCTTCAGCTTTGTTTCTGTCATCAGTGTGAGATGTTCCTCGGTTCATCTCCTTTAAGTACTAGTTGTCATCACTGATCTCTCACAGTTTGATCTCATTCTTTTCCTGGCCTTTCCCATCATGTTTAAAACTGACATAATCCCCTGTCCTCTGGCTTCTCCGTTGCTTTTTACTTGCCCTTTCAGCCACTTTTAGGGGTGATGTCATGGAACAGGAACTGGGGACTCAGTGTTTTGTCCTGAATCATACAACCAGCTCTTGTGGCAAAGATGCTTGGTACAGCTGCACAGGATGCTTGGCGCTTCACCATCGTGTGCTGTTAGCACATGTAACCAAGGTACAACAGATCGCCTTTGACCCAAGCTTCTCATCTTTCCTTAAATCAGCAGAGCTCTGCTGTAGTGGGAGCAGACTCAGCCCTCGCCAGGTCTGGGGAAGTAGAGTCTCTGAGAGTAAAGAAACGAGAAGTTGTGGTGGGTTTGAAGACACTTTTGGCGTGTTGTAATCAGTTGTATTGGGACAGACTGGAGTGTGTGTCTGTGGGGCAAGACACGGCACAGCCAGTCATCAGGGGAGACCTTTACTGACCTTCAGCAAGTGGCAGAGGAGTGTAATATTCCAAACTGCTTTGTCTGCTCTGTATTTGGAGTATTTTGACTTAGAGAAACAGTATCACGTGAGTCGTTTAAAAATGGATGTTGCTGGTTTATTGCAGATAACAAATTGAAACCATTATCATATTCTAACATATAATACAAATGCCCTGTCTTCACACACAAACTCAACACAATAAATATGATTCATGTCTCAATCTGGTTCGAAAGCAATTAAGCTGGTTTCAGAAGTTCTTGATGGAAAAACCTGAAAGGGCATTTGGAGGGGGACTAGTTCCTGATGCAGTCATTGCATCAGTGGTTACTGAATTACAGCTTTCTGGAAAAAGCAGCTTGGTTTTACCACGTACACCTTATGGTGTGCTGCATTCATCACACTACCAGGCCTTCCCTTTCTTTTCCCAGTGACCTTTGAGAATGGGCAGGCTTCTGTCCTTTTTTGTTTGATGCCCTTCAGCTCCTATCACCATGAGTTCTTGGTCACAGGAGTAAAGCCAGTCTTGACTCTGGTTTATAGAAAGCTATTTAACACAGTCTTATTCCCTTCTAGATCTCCAAGTTGCTGCAGCATTCCCACTATGGTAGATGGAAAACCCTTAAGATCTGAATTCAGCTTTCTAAAGTAACAATTCATGTTGCTTTAAAGTTAAGTTTCTGCCTTATATTAATGATGTAAAAAAGGCAAGAGACAACACTTTTTTTCCTTGACTATGAATTAAATCTCAACTACAAAATTGGTTAAAATGGGTTTGTGCGACTTCAGTGGCTCTTTGCTTCCCTGCTTGTTGTCTGCTTCTTTACTGAATTTCTTGGTAGTTTCACCTTCGGTTTCCCTTGGGATCGCGCTGTCTCTCCCTGGTATCAAGTCCTGCATTATCAGGTCAGTTCCAGTTGTCTCCTTCATCCTCTGCCACGTCCCTGCAGCCATTGGCCACAAGCTGTTGGTTGCCAGGATGTCACCGTTGCTCCTGGGCCTGCGTTTTCCCTGCTGAGCTTTCTTGAGATAAGACATTTTGTTGGCTATCACGACCGTGGACAGGAATAAGAAGGTGCAGATGAGCACGAGCACTGCTATCACAATGAAGCAGATCATTATGAGAGGCTTGCTGTCTTCACAGGTTTCTTTTGCCCCTGTACTCTTGGGTTTGCTGGAATTCCTGGGTCCTCCAGTGGCAGAAGTTGCCACTGCAGTGCAGACAGGGGAGGATGTGAGATTTTGGGCCGTTGTGGAGGATACGGATTGCATGGTCCCTGTCTGCATTTCCAGAGTAGTCGTTTTGCTGCTGAAGTTGATGCTCAGAGGAGAATCTGTGTTGGCATCAGTTATGTTCTGGCTTCCACTTGGATTTTGGCTGGTAGAATTCCAGGTTTCATTTATAAGCCCTGGATAATTGGTGTGGTTTGCACTTGTTTGCAGATACAAAGCAAAGATTATCAGGACAGGGAAGGCAGAGCCTGGTTTGCTGCGTCTGGTCTTCATCTTCCTGTTTAGTCACCTGCAAAAGTACAAATGATGGGATTTGTTTAGCAAGGGCTGGTTCTCAGAGGTTTGGGTTGGGCTCCTCAGGGAATAGCAGGCAGCAGCCTTTTATCAGAAGAACATATAACAACTACATATGTAGTGGATACAGGGGGTGGTGGGCAGGTACTTGGTGCTCTGAAAGAATGGTTGTCTCGAGCTTCTGGCAGTTTGAGGTTTATAGAGAATATATGAAGATTGAAAAAGAGCATGGACCAAAGGGCATAGGGAAGTGTTCCTCACTGACTGCTCCATGATGTAGAGGCAGACTCTGTAGTTCCCCCTCTTTGGTAGTTCCTCCTCTTTAAAGCTGGCCATACTACAGCTTGAGGTCCATCACTTCTGCTTTTACAGCCAAATGAGAAACCCGTGTGCAGGTTACAGATGGCTGCTGCTGTCTGCACCCGCCTGGCTGTGGGAAGTGTAGCTGTGCACATAAAGGTGGTCAAGTGAAAAACCTCAGTCTGAAATGTGGCTGAAACTGTTTTCTTTGTTCTTAGCACAGGTGTCAGGAGCGTTTCACAGAAATCTTTGTCTCTCATTTTTCTGCTTTACTGTACAAAAGGCAATTTTATCACAAATGTACTTCTCCTTTTTCTCACAACCATGCTGCAGATTGTGACATTTTCTGTGGAACGCCTGAGAATGATGCAAATGGTATTACCAGTAGCGTGTTCTGTCTCACATTTGTGCAGTGTTCAAATCTGTACCGGTTGAGTTTGTCTGGAGGGCAGGAAGCTGAGCTTTAGGCCAGCCTGATACCAAGTTGATAACCTTGGCTTTGATACTAAGTTTGATAACCTCAAAATGACAGTGACAAATCAGAGAAGGAGTGAAGCACTTCACTGTTGCTGCTTCATCCCGTCTGCACGTGTGAGACACTGTCAGAGTTTAAGGCTTATCCCATCCAGTGGCTTTCCCCTGTCTCTGTTAACGGAAGAAAATATTAGCTTTGAAAGTCACAGGATGTGTTTGGTTCACATATGGACAATGCAGAGAATGACCAAAAGGAACAGTGCTGTTCTTACAAATGCATTTGCTTTTGGAGGCACTGCTTTCCAGGTAACACGTATGTCTGTGGGGTTAGGTCATTCAGAAAGACTCCAGCCAACGCTCATGTCTATGATAGTCAGAAGCTGCCATGCCTGCCAGAGAGCTTGCCCCATTCACTCCCCAAAATCAGAGCGTGAACTTGCCTATCTTGCAAACCCCTGTCCTGCTGATGGCCTCCAGGAGCACGAGAGGTGACACGGCTCGTGTGTGACCAGGGAACAGTGATGGGTGCCTCTCCTTATGGGACAAAGCAGCAAAAGATAGAGATAACTTTGCAGCTTTTCTATGACATACAATCAGACTCATTCTGAGATGATTCCTTACTGCTAAGTTTGAACTAGAAACTGGTTTAGAAATCAACTGCACCTCAGGTAGGATTTTTATCTTCATAATAGTGAAGGTTGCCTCGACAGTGCCTTGTACTGTAATTTTAAAGGAAGAAAGCAAAGCCAGCGAAGTCTTTGGGAACAGAACAGCTTTTCACACAGTTTCTGCATGGCCTGCAGAGCTGAGCTCCATTTGCCAGTACAGATCCACTCCAACTTGGATGTTATGGCCTGAGAGCTGCAGCTTTCTGCCCCCTCCCTCGAGGGTACAACAAGTCCAGTGTTAATTGTGGTGTTCGGACCAAATGTGCTTTTCTTCAAAGTAAATAAACTGATGTTAAAGGCTTCACTTACAATCATGAGAGCAAAGAACTGCATTAAAGAGCTGCTTTTTCTTTTTAGTTCAGCCCTTTGTGCCTAGGTATGGACAGGGTCTTCTGTGAGAGCTCCCTGAAATCTGCAGTAACAACAGAGCCAAGGACCGACTGTCACTGTTCATTCTTTGGAGTCTGATTGTGAATAACCTTTACCAGTACTAAAAATACATCAGCCTCCCAATTCAGTGGGAGATATTTGTGCAGGGTGTTTCTGAGTCACCTGAACTTCTTTAGAAATACTTCTGCATGCAGTTTTGTACAACATCTGAGAAACTTCCAAGGGGAGCTTACAATAAGAGAAAGAAAACGTGCACTTACCTTGCCAAGATGTAGTCGAAAGAAGATTGGTGTTTCAGGTATTTAGTCCTTCACCAGTAATGTTTCTTTGTGCGTGCATTTGCTTGCTGTGAGGATGCAAGCGACCATTCACACAGAGCGAGTCGGTTTAGGCAGTGCTGGTGTTTTTTAAGCAAATCTGTAACTGAAATTATACGTCGTTTAAGTGGAGAGCTAAAACCACAGCGATGACACACTTCCTTTTCGTGACAGCTCTGCCATGACACGGTAGAGGGGGAAAACACCAACTTGCCCAGCTTAGCTCTCAGAACAACAGGAAGTAACATGGGAGGGAAGAGTCTCTTTGGCAGAGAAACATTCTGCCTTCATGAAATTTACCTCCTCTGTTACCCTGTGCCCCGGTGGTTTAGCTGAGGTGTGCCCAAGAGCAGTGTCCCAGCACACTGCAAACTACATCTGTGCTGGCAGTATTTGTTACCTCCTTCTGCAGACAGTCACTTTGCCTTGAAGGAGTGGAGCTCATGCTAGCTTGAAACAGTGGCAGGTATTTGAAGTACCTCGGATGTCCACGAGATGTTGAGTTTGATTTTCAGTTAATCCTTCCTGGTAGACTTCTGTCTGATGTGTTGGCTCTGGAGGCCTGGTTTTGGCTGATGCAGGGCCCAGTCTCCTGAGATTCAAAGAATCATTAAATGAGAACAAAAAGGTTCTTAATGTTTTACGTTATGTGAAGTCCCAAGCGAGCTTCATGATACTGGGCACTAACCTTGGAGTTAGCGTGAGCCATGGCACGCAAACCCAACCGTGTCTGCCCTGTTCTCTTACAGGTTCAAGACTGGTCAGATCAACGGAGATCTGCTGATCTACCACGTGCTGCTGACTCTGAAGCCATACTATGCAAAGCCATATGAGATTGTGGTGGACCTCACTCACGCTGGCCCCAGTAATCGCTTTAAAACAGACTTTCTTTCTAAATGGTTTGTAGTTTTTCCAGGCTTTGCTTATGAAAATGTCTCAGCAGTTTTTATTTATAACTGTAACTCTTGGGTCAGAGAATACACCAAATACCATGAAAGGCTCTTGACAGGTTTGAAAGGAAGCAAAAGGCTTATTTTCATAGACTCTCCAGGGAAACTGGCCGAGCACATCGAACACGACCAGCAGAAACTCCCAGCAGCTACCTTGGCTTTGGAGGAGGATTTGAAAGTATTTCACAATGCTCTCAAACTGGCTCACAAAGACACCAAAGTCTCTATTAAAGTAAGTCCTTGGAATGCTCTTCCTAGTGGATTGGTATATTTTCATAAGAATACATTTGAACAGGATTTTACTGTCTCTTAATTCTCCTCTCCTGTCTTGGGGAGAAAACACAAGTTATTAGTATGCCTCTTTAGGAAGTGTGTGTTTATAACATTGGAGGTGTCAGACTTTTCTCTCTGCACTGTTAACAGTAGGTGCTGAACCACTTTTCTGTTCTCTTCCTAAGGTTGGGTCGACCGCTGTGCAGGTGACATCAGCAGAACGAACAAGAGTCCTGGGACAGACAGTGTTTCTAAATGACATCTACTACGCCTCTGAGATCGAGGAAATATGTCTCGTGGATGAGAACCAGTTTACGCTGACCATTGCCAACCAGGGCACACCGCTCACCTTCATGCATCAGGAGTGTGAAGCCATTGTCAGGTCCATCATTCACATACGGACGCGGTGGGAGCTCTCACAACCAGACTCCATCCCCCAGCACACCAAAATTCGCCCCAAGGATGTCCCTGGGACGCTGCTGAACATCGCACTGCTCAACCTGGGGAGCTCCGACCCCAGCCTGCGGTACGGACCTTTTACATTAGCACCAAAGTGTGGATCATTTCTAGGCTTTCCTCAGCGTGGGCAAGTCTGACTTGAACAGAACGATTTCTCTTTCACCACAGCTCCATAAAATGTACATTTAATTTAAGCAAGCTTGTGTTTTCTATAGAGGAAGAAAGGCACGTGCACTGTCACAGTTACTGGAGGTGTGTAGGAAGCTCAATTTCTCTTTATAAGGAGAAACACTTCTGCTTTCCAATATATGTTGTTAGGTACGTCTGATTTCCATGGTGTTGAACTTGTTTAACACCATGGGAGCTGCAGCTATAGAGTAGGCTCTCAGTGGTGGCACAAAGCACTGCCTCTGCCTGCGGGCCGTGGTGGTCTCTCTCCTATTAGCTCAGGTGCACATGGAAATACATAGAATTTCCTAGAGCCGAATGCTGTTCTGAGAATTCCAGTGCCGGCTCCTTCAAGCACAGTCTTTAACCTCATCAGGAATTGTTTAAAGCAAGTGGAGGAGTAATTTCTTTCATCTCTTCAAGGCAAATGTTTTTGTCTCTGAGTCTTAACTAGTGCAGGGAAAAAGTTCAGGATTTAAATGTAATCTCTTGCATAGCAGTAGTGCTGTGAGTTGTCAAATGTCACTGTTATCACTGTGGTGCCTTGGTGTAATGCATGTGTTTTAATACGTGTCCAAGAAAACTCTTACAAGTCACGTTGCTTGCTTTGTTACAGGTCTGCTGCCTATAATCTCCTATGTGCCTTAACATGTACCTTTAATTTAAAGATTGAGGGCCAGTTACTGGAAACGTCAGGACTGTGTATTCCTGCCAACAACACACTATTTATTGTATCTATTAGTAAGACTCTTGCAGCTAATGAGCCCCACCTCACCTTAGAGTTCCTGGAAGAGTGCATTTCTGGATTCAGCAAGTCTAGTAAGTACCTCCAGTATTCATTCATGCTTTACAACTTTGCAGTGAACATGAAAACCAGTTCCACTGCACATCTCCTTCATTTGGAGGATCAAGTTCATTCAGAGAGATCACAGCCCGGGTTATTAGTTTTGTATCGCTGTTGATAGCTCTGCACAGTGAGCTCTCTGTCAGGCTCTTATTAATTCATTAGAAGTAGAGAATATTGCAGAATGAGAATCAAAATTTGAGGTCCATGATAGTGAAGGTTTGAACTCTAGAATATACACGGAAGAGTTACAGGGCTCTTTAGTCCTGTCAAGATCAATCTCTTGAGGTTGACTGTATCTCTCAGTTGGACATCTGGTTCTGTTGCACTGCTTATTACTGGAAAAAAGGATAGCAAAATGCAGCTCTGCCTTTACTGTTGGAAGCTGTTTGGAATACATGCTCAAGATTAAAAAGAGATTATCTTAAATACTCCTGCCTAATCCTGAATGTTCACATCTTTGTCACATCTATTAGTAAGAGATTAAATGTCAGCATCTCCTTGCCAGATTGCAGCCAGTGTTTCTTGGATGTGGTTAACAAAGTGTGTATCTTTCTGAAGCTCCCCTGCTTGCCCAGTGTTACTTGCTCAGCTCTGACAGTGATTATTTTGGACAATAAATACCAAGAGGAAAAGTGCTCACAAATAATTGTTTGCTTATAAATAGAGACCAGTGTTGATTCAGTGCTTTACTGCAGGTATTGAACTGAAGCACCTCTGTCTGGAGTACATGACTCCCTGGCTGTCCAACCTGGTGCGGTTCTGCAAACACAACGATGATGCCAAGCGCCAGCGGGTCACGGCCATTCTTGATAAGCTCATAACGATGACAATAAATGAGAAGCAGATGTACCCTTCCATCCAGGCCAAGATATGGGGAAGTCTTGGACAGGTACACGTTCTGCATAATCTATTGCTTTGTAAATAAAAATAATACAATCTGAATTATAGTTTCTGTGCAGTTCTGTAGCATTGTGATCTGGAGTAGAAGCTGGGAGAGCTTTACACCTCTAAAATACACAGTAGGCTTTTCTCCAGCAGGATAACAAATCACTGTGGTTGTTATGCATCTTAAAAAGGAATGATTGCTGATTTAACAGGCTGTTTACTGTGGAAAAAGGAAGTTATTCTGACTGATCAAAAGGAATTTATCATCTTTAACAGATAACGGATCTCCTTGATGTCGTGCTGGACAGCTTTATCAAGACCAGTGCCACAGGGGGCTTAGGCTCCATAAAGGCTGAGGTTATGGCAGACACGGCTGTAGCACTCGCTTCAGGAAATGTAAAGCTGGTTTCAAGCAAAGTGAGTTCCTCTTTTGCCTTGATTTCCTTTTATAGAATAACTTATATAATAATGTGACAGAGAGAAGCTTTCTGATAACTCGGTACAGGCAGTAATGCAAAGAACATGATAAAACAGGTTCCAAGCAATAGGATAATCCTAATATTAAGTTGTAATGGGGTTTATTGAAATTCGAGCTGGGCTTTTCCTTTATGTGAAACAAAACTGTTCCTTGTTTTCAGGTGATTGGGAGGATGTGTAAAATAATCGACAAGACTTGTCTGTCTCCGACTCCTACCCTGGAGCAGCACCTGATGTGGGATGACATCGCTATTCTAGCACGCTACATGCTGATGCTCTCCTTCAACAATTCTCTGGATGTGGCAGCACATCTCCCCTACCTCTTCCACGTGGTCACCTTGTTGGTGGCCACTGGTCCCCTTTCTCTCAGAGCTTCCACTCACGGTCTCGTCATTAACATCATTCATTCCCTGTGCACTTGTTCCCAGCTTCACTTCAGTGGTAAGGGTTGCCAGTTAGGCTGATTGCCGCTTCTTTGTTTAAGAGATATTGGAGTTGTATTTGCACTGTTCTGAGAGTTTGAAAATCCCGTGTTGTGGTTCTGCTTGCTGAGGGTTTGATCTGCAACAGACGAGTTTGGTGTTAAAACTGTCTGGTTTAGAGCAGGTGCATAATGCGAGTTGTTTGTATAACAGGCTTTAGAAAAAAGAAAGTACCAGCAAGATCCTGTGATGCAGAGAAAGGAGAAAATAAGGTCTGTGCTAAAAGTGGCTGATGTGCATCTTTTGAGTGGTTGCATAATGTGGTAGCAAAAAATATCAGTTACATAAGGGAATTGTGAAACTATACTGTTAAGACAGGTATTTTGTGTGCTGCTCTTTTAGCAGTCCTATAATAACTGGTGTAAGCAGATAAGTAGCTGTCACTTCTTACCACAGACTGTAAAACCAGGGAGGAAAAAAAAGTTTATGTAAATCTTTTTATGATGTGAAAGCTCATTTTATAACTATATGTATTGACAGTGAGTGTGTGAATACACATATGTGTATGTATATGAAAATAAAAGCTCTAATTTGATGCGGAGAGAGAAGGGCAACCCTTCCTGTTCAGAGGATGAATTGGAAGTGCACTGAAATGAACTGGAAGTTCAGAGCTGTAAAAATACTCAGTGCTGGGAGCAGGGCTGTCATTTTCCTCTGAGTTAAGTGGCTTCTTCAGTGCCAGAGCCAAAGCAGCGTTTGATTGCAGCTTGAACTTACAGCACGGTTGGGATTTCAGAGCAGGAGCTCTCCAGGTTCCCATTTTATGAATCAGTGTGAGGAGAAGTCTCACAGAACCACATCTTTAAGGAAGCTTCCTTCAATCTGTTTTTAGAATACACCATCCCAGTGGCTGGCTTCAGCAGTCTGTGCACAGACCAAGGTGGTTGTGGGGTACTCAGGGAATAGCAAAGAGTGATCGGATATGCAGAGTGACCTATAGGATGATTGTCTGCTTTGGTGTTCATGGGAGGGTGAGCTGTGGTGTTTGCAGCACGGGTTGAATTTCAGTGCTTTAAATCTAATACCAAACATTCCTTCCTCAGAGGAGACCAAGCAAGTTTTAAGGCTGAGCTTGACCGAGTTCTCTCTGCCCAAGTTCTATTTGCTGTTTGGAATCAGCAAAGTGAAGTCGGCCGCAGTCATCGCGTTCCGCTCCAGCTACCGAGACAGGTCCTTCTCTCCTGGCTCCTATGAAAGGGAGACTTTTGCCCTGACCTCCTTGGAAACTGTTACTGAGGCACTGCTGGAGATCATGGAGGTACGTGGGTCAAAGCAAATAATCCCTGCTTGTGCTTCCTGCGGGTGAGTGGTGTAGGGGTGCTCTTCCCAGCACGTGGCAAGGGATATTAAAGAACTTGACTTGTGAGAACTGCTCTAACTGCACAGTCTGAATTGTAAAAGTACTCAATGGTACACATATTCAAACAATATAATTCTTTTCAGGCATGTATGAGGGATATTCCAACGTGCAAGTGGCTGGACCAGTGGACTGAACTAGCTCAAAAGTATGTGACAGCTCTAAGACCATAACCCCTGCCTGCCTGAGTGCACACCTACAACTGTCAGCCTGCCTGTTGTCTCTCCATTAATGTTCGTGTTTCCTCACAGGTTTGCATTCCAGTATAACCCATCCCTGCAGCCAAGAGCACTTGTTGTCTTTGGCTGCATAAGTAAGCGTGTGTCTCATGGACAAATAAAGCAAATAATCCGAATTCTTAGCAAGGTATGTGGGTCTGTGTCTGTTTTCCTGCATGGCTCCTAAATAGCTATTTTAGCTATCCTTAATCTTCCCATCGAGTACAGAACTCAGTGTAATTTGAGGATAAATATATTTTTCCAAGCCTGTTTTATGGAACTGATCGGTTGGAAATGCACTTCATGTGGACCAAGCTTTTTATTTGAAATCAATTTGGTGGCAGTAAGTTTTGTCACTGCTGTGGCTCCTGAAGTAACAGTGGCTGGCAGTCTTGAGTTTCTGATCTCAGATGATGAGATGGATGGAGAAGCTGCTATTTAAATAAATGAGCAATGTTCTGTTAAAGCATTTGGCTGCATGCACATGATTCACAACTTCCTTGTTTTTAAAGGCAGTTAATAACCTAATGTGTTATAAATAAATGCAATAAAGAGCAGGACAGTCACTTAAGAAAACTTTGAGCAGACTGCCTCTCTTGGTGCTGGTGCTCCATGTTCCCTGAAGAAGGCTGCATTCCGTAGCACAGACACCCTGTGCTAAATGTGTTTCAGTTTAACCATTTTTTGAAGTTGATGTCCATAAAACTCTCAATCTGAGCAGCATCTGCACTGTAGAAGAGAGGCTCTGTAATCCTTGCACCCTTCCTTTTTCAACACACACTCTGCAGCTGCTCTCAGCAGTGCCTGTATCACTTCTGTCTAAATCTCCATTTGGAAAAGTTCTTGAGAGTTGGTTTCAAATGAGCTCAAGCTTTGTAAGCTCATTGAGAGTAACCATTATTTAGAGCTTTGATCCTCTTTTCCTCAAAATCTAATTACGGTTTTATTTTTAATTACTTTTTTCTTTTCCCTCTACACAAAGGGACTCGAGAGCTGTTTAAAAGGGCCTGATAATTACAATAGCCAAGTTCTGATAGAAGCTACGGTTATAGCCCTCACCAAGCTGCAGCCTCTTCTTAACAAGGTAAAACACTGGGGTTTTAGAGTTAGCAGAGAACACAGTTTATAAATGAAGAATACAATTACGGGTATAATCTTAACAAAACAAGTGAATGCTGGGGCCTCTGAAGTTCACGCTTCGCTGCTATGGCTCATGCCCAGATGCTGCAGATGGGCAGTGTCAGATGTTTCCACGTGGGACCTGTGTGATGGCTTTAAAAAGACCTCAGCCTGAGCTGTTCTGCTCCATCAGCCACAGCACTGGTGGAGCACAGGCTGCCAGTGGCTGGGGAAGGTTCTCAGCCTTGGCCCTCAGGGTTTGCCAGCACAGGCCTGGCAGGGCATGGCTTGCAGTAAATGTCAGCCTGCTCTGATTTGCCACTAACTTGGCCATCTGGATGGTGCTTTCAAGTTCATGATATGAGCAGCATTCCAGTAGGTATTCCAGTAACAAAGAGCCTCAGGCACCTAATATTAGTACATAAACCTTGTTCCTAGAAAAATCTGCTTCCTGAGACCCCAGGGTCTGCATTCCTCCTGGGTGCTTTTTTGACCTGGAGTAGAAATTGCCCGGCCAGGTTTGTGTGCAGAGTTTCAGTCCATTTTCAACATGTGCTTTCAATCTGAGGACAGGTTTCTGTTCAGTCTGGTGTGAGGCATGGTGTGTCTGACGTGTTGTGAGCAAGGGAAGGAGTACCAGAGAGAAGGAATGGCTTAGGGGGAAATAAAAGGCTTGAAATCAGTTCACTTTCTACTCTTCACCTGTTGAATGCATGAAGACGACAGGTTCGTATGAACATCTGTGTGTTGGAATGGATGTGGTTGAGGACAGAACTGGCTACAGGAAGGGTTGTAATGGATGTGCAAACCCGTTTGTTAGTCCTATTTGTCTTTCATTTACAGGAACTGACTTGAAAATCGTGGCTTTCTCTCTTTCCCTCCAGGACTCGCCGATGCACAAGGCCCTCTTCTGGGTAGCCATGGCAGTGCTGCAGCTGGATGAAGTAAACCTGTACTCAGCAGGTACAGCCCTGCTTGAGCAGAATCTGCACACCCTGGACAGCCTTCGAGTATTCAATGACAAGGTGAGCTGTTAGCAACCAGCTCTGACTGACACTGGGTTTGTGTGAGCAGTTACATCTGTTAATACAGGAAAAAAACACAGCTCCTTGTCCTCCTGGACACTGGGTAAGCAACTAAAACTGCATTAGGGATTGTTTCACTTGGGTAATACCAACTGAGATGTATGTAATTGTGTTCTGACCTGGGACAGAAATGTACAGATGTGTTGTGTTCAAAGGTGTGCTGGGTATTTCAGTGTAAGCTCCTAAAATTACTCTGTCACTTGTAAAAAGAACACCTGGAGCTGTCATGAGCAGCTCTTGGGTTTTCTTTTTCCTGGTCAGAGCCCGGAAGAGGTGTTCATGGAGATCAGGAGACCCCTGGAGTGGCACTGCAAGCAGATGGACCATTTTGTTGGGCTGAATTTCAACTCCAACTTCAACTTTGCACTAGTGGGACACCTCCTGAAGGGTAAGAACATATCTTGCTTCTTCTGGTAGAGTTGTGCTTCCTTACCCTTCATGTGAGCATGTCCTGAGAACATGCTAATGAACATACTAATGCTTCGTAAATATGCACCGAACATTAAATACGGTATTTGGTTTTTAACCCCATTTCTTAGGGTACAGGCACCCTTCTCCTACCACTGTAGCAAGAACTGTGAGGATTTTACACACACTACTAGCGCTGGTTAACAAGCACAGGAACTGTGACAAGTTTGAGGTGAACACCCAGAGCGTGGCTTACCTGGCAGGTAAAGTCAGACAAACCAACGTTGTGCTCAGTTGGTGCTGACTGAAATGAACAGATTCTTGTGGGAATTCTTATGGGTTTGGGTTGATAAAATTGTACCAACGTGAAGGACGCTTGTAAGTGGGGGTGGACGAGGGGCTGGGCTAGGCTGGGGTGCATCAAAGACAGCGTCTGGGGGCTGAAGGCTTCACGCACAGGGGAGCGGCTGCACAGCAGTGGAAACCCTTCAGGGAGGCTGAAGGTTTCTTGGTTTAAGCCCTGCAGTGTGTACCTTACAGTGTTCCAGTTCCCAGTGATCTGTGAGCAGAAACTGTGACCATATGAGGGCAAGTGTTTAAATCACGTAATTGTGACTGGATGGGGATCAGCATTCTTTTTAAATGACCTGGTTTGAATCAGAACAAAGACGACCACTGGGATGTAAGCACACCGCACTGCAGTGCACACAGGAGAAGTCTGAAGTGGGTGGGATGCTGCTCACCTTCAGTGTTGCCTCTGCAAAACTTACCTTGACTCTCTTTGGTGTTTTAGCTTTGCTGACAGTGTCTGAGGAGGTTCGAAGTCGCTGCAGCCTAAAGCACAGGAAGTCTCTCTTGTTGACAGACGTTTCAATGGAGAATGTTCCCATGGATACCTACCCCATCCATCACACTGACACTAGCTATAGGTTGGTTGTCTGACTTTTAGATATTTCACACACATTTCAGTGTCTGTGTCCTTTAATAAATTACCCCAAGGTAACTAACTTTTGTTCGTTAAAAACTCAGTCACAGAGAAATGTGGGTATCAAAATTCATACAGATTTAATTCTGAGGTCTGTAAAACTATTGCAGAGCTTAACTGCTTTGGAGGTTGTTAAGCTCTTTGCTAACATCTTTCTACAAGACCTAATTTCATCTCATTTATATTTTAGAAGAAGGTTTTGTTTGTCCTTCTATAAGTAGTCACTTTATCCGTGTCACTGGAAAATCTCAACACCTTAGAGCCTGTCTATCTGCAGCACAGATACAAGCTGAGAAACCCACCTCAAAGTGATGGGGAGAGCCAGTTTCTCTCAATGGGGAGCACTTTACTCAGTGTCTCTCAGCATCCAGTTTTGTCTTGCCTTGTAGGCTGATTTGCTTGTGTTCTTTTCATTGCTTTATTGTTTATCTCTTCAGCATTACATCCATATCAGATTGTTAGCCTTCACTAGTCAGTTTTGCAAGCAAAGTAATTACTATTCTTTGTATGTGTTTTGGGGAGATTAACCTGTTAGGAAAGATGGGTTTAATACAGGGTAGTTTGGCTATTTGAACAATTTATGCCTAAATATGCACAGTTTTAAAGATTTTCTTAATTGAATTTCTCTGCACTTTCAGGACACTAAAGGAAAACCAACCCTGGTCATCACCAAAGGGGTCAGACAGACACCTGGCTGCCAGTTACCCGACAGTGGGACAGATAAGCCCTCGAACACGAAAATCCATGAGTTTGGATATGGGGCAGCCGTCACAAGCGAACACTAAAAAGCTTCTAGGTTATTCACATAACTAATTCACTCCTTTGTCTGCAGAGTACCCCAGGGAGTGTTACTGGCGAGACATTATGCTTGTATTTGTTCTGACTTTAAATGCTTATTCCCTAGACAGAGGAACGTATGCAGTTCCTACAGAGTATGATTACAGAGCACTGTACAGTTAAAGAGGACTAACTCGGGTCTTTTGATCACAAAGGGGGGAAGCAAAAGCGACACTCAAAATATGTGGAGGAAAAAGGGGAAAAAGGAAGAAAAAGAGGTACTGCAGACACGGAAGATTCATAGTGCCAGTGTTCTGCCACCAGCCCTCTTTCACCAGAACCAAGAAGCCGAATAACGTAGCTTAGCTGCCGAGTTGAGTTCTCTGCCTTGTGCTAGAAGAGAGGGTCCCAAAACATTTTAGATGTTTTGTAAGCAATCTGATTTTTATTCATGGCCTCTCAGTGCATCCTGTGTACAAGCAAAGCCTCAGTGTCAGAGAAACAAGATGAGTTGCTTGGTGTAACTTGTGGGTACCCTTTACATTCCGTGGTGTACGTGGGAGAAGAGGAGAGTGATTTCATTATGATCCTGTTACTGCTTCCTTCTCAGTAGTCACATTTTGGCATGTTTCTTGGATGTGATGTGGTGACCAGGAAACCATAGCATGCCCCAGCATACATCTCCGAGTAAACTGCATGCTTCCCTCATACATACTGTGAAGCATTTTGGAACCTGTGATGGAGAGCGGCATGGTGTGATCGTATTTTCTTTACCATCCCTGAAAATGGTGGAAACGTCCCCAGATTCCTGTCAATGCACTGTAGATAGGAGAGTAGCGTGGCCAGAAAATCAGGAAAAGTTAGAATATGGATCTAGGTTTAATGTTTTTAATTGCCTGATAAATTGTTTTTAGGTACAAGGAAAAGTTTTGACCATTTGATATCGGACACAAAGGCTCCTAAAAGGCAAGACATGGAATCTGGAATCACAACGCCTCCCAAAATGAGGAGAGTAGCCGAAAATGATTATGAAATGGGTGAGAAACAGGACTAACATTTTCAGAATAATACTAATTATAAATGCTTTGTATGCACATACAAAGAATTATTTCTAAATTCAGTGTTTATTTGCCTAGGACACTACAAGGTAAGGGAGAAATATCTGTCTGAGCAGTGGCTTCTGGAGAGCAAAGTGTTCCTATCACTAGCAACTCAGGTTTGAATTAGAGTTGCTCAGTTTGCAGCTGTAGAGCTGTACCTACAGGATTGGACTGAAATAAACCAAATCTGGCTTTTTCTGAGCTAACAAACCCGAGCTGCAAATTCCTGCAGGAGATGGAACGTGACCTAATGCCTCGAATGCCTCTCTTCATCGTCTCCCACATCTGCTTCCTGTGCCCCCACCCCCAATTGCAATGCAAGACCAGGGTTCTGCTCTCGTGTCTGATGGCAGTCTGCTGCCAGAGCCGGAACGTGGGACTTGCCACCCCTGGGCCTGTATTTCACTGATGAGGAAATTGGGGTTATTGTTGACCATTCGATAACACATCCCATGGAACGGTCCAGTGCTGCCGGCATTCCAGCGTAGCTGTTGCTTTTCTACCTTACGAATGCTGGTGACCTCAGAGTTTGCATATGACCGAGTTCGTTGTGCAAGAGCTGGTTCTGGTTTGCTTGGGGTTGCCTTTGCTTTGGATGAGTTGCTCTTTTTTATCTGGCAGAAACCCAGAGAATATCACCACAGCAGCACCCGCATCTCCGAAAGGTTTCTGTGTCCGAGTCCAACGTCCTGCTGGATGAAGAAGTCCTGACTGACCCCAGAATACAAGCGCTGCTGCTTACGGTTCTTGTAAGGTTTCTTTCTGTCTATTCCCTGGTATTTTCTGAGTCTGTTGTGCTGTGCGTGCTCCTTGCAGTGTTTCCAGCTTCACATGGATCAGCATCCCTGGGATGTGCAAGTCGATTCTTTTGATCCAGCCTTCTAGGAATCACTATTAGAAATGTGTTTAAATGCTCCTCGAGAGCAGATACTGAATTTTCATTATTCCATCTTGCTTTGTAGAACTTGTCCAACAATTGTCCCTTTTCTCCTGGCAGATTATTATCACAGACTAATTTTATAGGATAAAATGATAGCAATACATTATACTTCTAAAGTCAAGAAGTGCAAGCTGTTGGAATCCCAGCGTAATTCAGTTTTTCAGTGATTAACTGTTAATAGAGTATGATGGTGCTTTCTACAGCTGGACCAATCCAGTCGCCATTCCTGAGGTAATTCAGTCAGATTCAGTTGCCTGCTCTTGACAAAAAACAACTAGCTAAATATTTATCAAAATAGAAGCCACTGCCAACCGGTTTTATTTCCTGCATAGACACAAAATGACTCGGTTCCATGTCCAGAGGGGACACAAATGAATCTTTTGTAATGCTTCTTTCAGAAATCTGAAAACCTTAAACTACAACCACAAAGCCTGTGTAGAACTACTCACATTCCAGATGTGCTCATTTAACCTTTTTTTTGTAACAGGCGACATTGGTGAAGTACACTACTGATGAGTTTGACCAGCGGATTCTGTACGAGTACTTAGCAGAAGCCAGCGTTGTCTTCCCAAAGGTCTTTCCTGTTGTGTAGGTATCCAACACTGTTCATGGGGACTCTCGACTTGGCCCTTCCTTTAAAAGGTCTGCACCAGAACAAGCTTGTACGAAGGGCTTATCTGTCCGTGGCTTGCTGGGACCAGTGTCCATAGCAATTTGAGAATCATCCTTTTCCCTCTTAAAAACTAATCCAAAGTTCTTCCTAGACCAGGCCTCCTCAGGTATCGCTGCTGGTGCTTCACCCCAGTCACGCTCAGGTTTTGTACTTAGCATTTCACGTGCCAGTCAAAACTGATTCAAAGCCAGGTCAGGACACTAGTATTTCTTCAGATACCTGTTAAAAGTAGTATTTGCTGGAGTCAGTCTGCGTAAGAGAAACCCAACCATCGGGACTTCAGAGGAGCAGACTCTTAGAGCTGACCTGAGCATGATGTAAAAATCATGCTGCGATTTTCTGGTTTTATAAATGGGGAAAGCACATACAAGTTGTGTGAGTTACTGAAACCACAGTTATAAGTAAGTGGCATTTGTATTAACAGAGCCCAGGGAGGGAACACTGCCACAGGGTGAAAAAGGTGCTTTGAAACTGCAGCTCTGAAATGTTCCCAAATCTAGTGAATTGGTTTTGGGTTGAAAATAATGAAACTCTTTGCAATGTAAAGTGTGAGGTGAATGCTTCAGTGGGGCACATGGCGAGTGCAGCCCTTTGGCAGCGTTACACTGAGCGCACGTAGGAATTGTGTTGTACTTCTGAAGTCACCGAGGTTTTGAAAATCCCACCTTAGCTGAAGTCATTTGGGAACTGTGGCTGGTTTGTGTTTAATGAGCAACAAATAAACTGCTTCTCTTTTCCTTCAGGCACAATTTACTGGACTCCAAGATCAATACCCTCCTATCGCTGTGCCAGGATCCAAACTTGCTGAATCCAATCCATGGGATCGTTCAGAGCGTTGTCTACCATGAAGAGTCGCCGCCCCAGTACCAAACTTCTTACCTGCAGAGTAAATGCCTTTCCTTGGTTTAAAAGCAGCCATATCTGAAGTTAGATTTACTACTGACAGTGGTTTGGAACTGCAGCCCTAAATAGAACACTCAGTCGGTCTTGTGTGGCACCTTGCCAATGTCATACTCTTGTAAACAGAAGAGTTTGCATATTACAAACCCTGCTGCCATGAATATTAAAGCTGCTCCCTGCTATTGTGCACTAAAATTCAAAGTCCTACACCAGCTGTGTGTGTCAAAAGAAGCTGAAGCTCAGTATTGTGTCTGCTAAGCAATTTGAAGGAATACAGACCAGGAGCAGGGGTAACCGATGAGTTTCAGTTTAACCCTGTAAGGCTGGGCAATTCCATAGTTTCTGCTTGTTTTCTGTCAGTTGAGAACTGTGTGTTTGTGGTAACATTTGATTTGTTGTTGCAGGTTTTGGATTTAATGGGTTGTGGAGGTTTGCTGGCCCCTTCTCTAAGGTAAGAGCAGTACATCCCCTGCACGTTTCTGTAGAGAGCACACTGGTGCTCCGGGAAGGATGCAGATCACACGATTTCTAGAGAAAAGAACCAGTCTCTTTCTTCTTCCCCCACGATGCACAGCAAACACAAATCCCGGACTACGCTGAGCTCATAGTGAAGTTTCTTGATGCCTTGATTGACACGTATTTGCCTGGAATCGATGAGGAAACCAGTGAAGAATCTCTCCTGACGCCCACCTCTCCGTATCCCCCTGCAGTGCAGAGCCAGCTGAGCATCACTGCTAACCTCAACCTTTCCAATTCCATGACCTCCCTTGCAACCTCCCAGCACTCCCCAGGTCAGTGGCTTGTTCTGTTCCGTCTTGAATGCACTGCTTTTGTAGCTACTCGGCCTCGTTGTTTCCTGGGAGGTGTTTATGCATCAAAACTCATTGCATTCTTGAGTCAAATGAACATTAAACTGTTCACTAAGCTATTAATTACACTGATATTTCAGATGTTGGGATTTATCCAGCACAAAAGTTGTCTTCCAAGTCGTTCCACATAAGCCAGTACCCTGCTTAGAATGAACCTCCCTGCGTCACCATGGCGGAATTCGGTGCCATCTGGGCTGCGCCATCCCTCTTGGTCCAGGCTGTTGGTCCCCTCTGGGGCTGCAGGATGCAGCGAGCTTAACCCCAGTCCTTGTGTTTCCCCAGGGATCGACAAGGAGAACGTGGAGCTGTCGCCCACCGCCGGGCACGCCAACAGCGGGAGGATGCGCCACGGCTCCGCCAGCCAAGTGCAGAAGCAGCGCAGCGCGGGCAGCTTCAAGCGGCACAGCATCAAAAAGATCGTGTGATTGCTCCTCTCTGAGCCCTTTAACTCTGTCTGGAGACTGACGCACGCGGGCCCCTCGCAGGGCCCTCACCGGTTGTGATGCTGCACTTAACTTTTCCAGTTCCCATCCTGTCAGCCGTGTTGCCAGATGATCAACTCCTGAGACATTGCCTGAGTTTTAATGCCTTCATTTCCTCCCTCCTGTGTCTGGTTTCAGTCAGTGTTTCAGAACCGCTCCCCTAGATCCTGACGGACTTTGCAGCCGAAGGAGGTGTGGAGTTCTTTAACACTGCAGAACCGTGTCGTGTCCAAACTCGAAAGCCATTGCCCGTAGACAGTTCTACCTTGCTTCTGTTGTCTGCCTTGGTTGCCTCTCTTCTAGAGGGACGTGTTCGTCCTTAACCCTGTTTGCACACATTTCAAGGTGGTGGCTTTATGAGCCAGAGGAAGTTCCTGTAATCCTGGTTTTAATTCAAACCTGTAAGATTTTTAGCTGTGGACTTTTTTTTACCATACTTTAAAAGAAACTTAGGACAGCTGCAGTGCAATGAGCTTAACCATCGTGGTGGGTTAGGTTAAATTCCTGGTAATCAGCAATAAATTTGAGAGGAGAAGGAGGCCCCACGAGTCTCTTCCATTCCCCACCCCATAGCTGCACATGCTTGGACTGTGTATGGACCAGACTGGACAAACTGGCTTTTTTCCAAAGCAGGGTTTTTTGCTTGTCGTGGTTTAAGCCCAGCCGTAACTCAGAACCACGCAGCCGCTCCTTCACTCCCCCTCTTCTTCCCCCCCTGCTCTCGGAGGGATGGGGAGGAGCATGGAAAGAATGTAACTCCCACCGGTTGAGATAAGAGCAGTCCAGTAACTAAGGTATAACACAAACCGCTGCTGCTACCACCAATAGTAGTAATGATGAGGGAAATAACAAGGGAAGAGAATACAACCACTCACCACCCGCCGACCGATACCCAGCCTGACCGAGCAGTGACCTAGCCCTTCCGGGTAACTGCCCCCCAGTTTCTATAGTGGGCATGACGTGCTGTGGGATGGAATACCTCTTTGGTCAGTTTGGGTCAGGTGTCCTGTCTCTGCTTCCTCCCGGCTTCCCCTCCTCCCTGGCAGAGCAGGAGGCTCACAAAGTCCTTGGTCAGAGTAAACATTACTGAGCAGCAACTAAAAACACCAGTGTTATCAGTGCTGTTCCCAGGCTGAAATCCAAAACCACAGCACTGCACCAGCTACTAAGAAGGAGAAAAATGACTGCTACTGCTGAACCCAGGACATTGCTGTACTTGAACTGCACTAAACAGGTTGTATAGTGGAAAGAAACTATCGAGAACTGACCATTATGCTGTCATTGTAGCAGTCTTGAAAACTTAATTGCTTCTTTCTTCTATTTAGCATCTACTTTAGTTTTGCCCTTCCTCTGAGGAATTCCTGGCAGAATAACCCGTGGGGTGTGTGGGGAATTAACCCTCGAGCTCTGGGAGATGGCGTTTGGCAAAGCTGCTTCCGTGCTGCCCGAGCAGCACTGTAAAACCAGCAATGTTTGCTTAAGGTACATGAATTTAAAGCCAGCCGACACCATGTGGAGTGCAGGTTATGTCTGAGTGTTTGCAGTGCAATCCCTGGTGTCAGTCCAGGCATCCGCAGCCAAACCCATCTCACAGAACAACCCTGGGCTTTCAGTCCGTGAGGGTTCGTGCTTGGGGGTGACACAGAACTGAAGCTGCTGTCGCTGTTAAGCACTTGTCAGCTCAGTCGTGCGTCGCGGTGGACGGCTGTGAACGTGCTGCTATGTCTGAGGTGTCGGGCGCAGCGCTGGGTGCTGATCTTGGGGTGAGCAGGAATCCTGGCCAAGGGCCCATCCATCAGCTGGGTGCTCACTGGAGGGCTCTGCATCTCCTGCTAAAGAACAGCTGAACTGCCCAGTGCCAGAGCCCTGGTTTATGTTAGGTCTGCAAGTGGCTTTAAAGGAAAACAAAGGCATATCCAGTAGCTGCAGTGAGACCCTCCAGTGCAATTTCCTTAGTGGCTTTCAGTAAATCAAACTCCACAGCTAAATTATTAGAGAATGGTACAAGTAAGTGTTGAGACTTTATTGCTATCGCACATAACTCACATGTATCCACACAGTAACGATGTAACATGTATGTAAATAAAAATACCTTTATTGTATTGATTCCTAACATAACAATTTAATTTCTTTAATTTGTTTACAGTCCTGGAAAAACTCTGAACACAAACTTCATATGCAAATAGTTTGCCAAAACAAGAGGAAAGCTTAGAATCAGCAGTGTTGGAATAGAGGCGCTGGGAAAGGCAAAGGCTTGTGCAGTCAACCAGACCTCTTTATTCCTGGTGGTAGGAATGTGGTTCCTGAGCTGCCGTGGGACTGTGAAAGGGGTTGTGAGGCCAGAGCTGAGCGCAGGAGTAGAGCAGTGGCTGGGGCTGTCTGGAGCTGCTGTGCACAGACAGCTCCGGGGGTCACTGATGTAAAAGCTGTTCTCATCTCATAGGTGATGTTGCAGAGCCACCTTCAGCATCGCTACCAGCGAGTGCTTGTTAGTCCGAATCGAGCTATTCCAGCCCTTTCTGCTGTGCTGAAGACAATGAATTGTAGAAGCCTGAAGGTTTGTAGGTAGGAGGGAAAAAGAATCTCTTGTAATTTGCTGGTAGAAAAACGTAGTTTTCACTTTTCTCCTACAAGCAGATTCTCTGTAAACAGAAAGAGTAATTCCAGGGAACAGCCAAAGGGGTTTTGTTTGACTGGGAGCATGCGAGAGCACCTCTGCCAACGTTTTTGCATTGCCTCTATTAAGAGAGTCCCTAAATTAATGCATTGTTTGAAACACAGAGAATGTGAAACCAAAATGGACAGCGATTGCAGTTACCTTTCCTGGGAGAACTATTCCAGACTCCCAGTCCCTTCTGAAAAAACCTGGTACCTTCATAAAGGAAGTCAACAAAACTGAATTCATCCTGTTTCCTGGAAAGAGGGGGAGTCATTTCATGTCTTCACTGCATGGCTCAGTGAGAGGACCTGAACATTCTTAGAGCAGGGGTGTCAAACACGTGGGTCACGGGAGCTGGATGCAGGCATAGTTACAGCCGATGACCAGGGTTTATTTTGGGATCACATGCACTCTGATACATGGGGACATCATCTCCCAGTACCAGTGGTTGAGAAGCTTGTGCTTAGATCAAGGAGGGGACCACGGCCTTTCTTTACTGATGAAACTCCTATTAGTAATTAGTCGTTCAGTGCCTTACTGTCACATGCATCACTTGGCCTGCTCCCTGTAACAGCCAGTGCTCTTATTTTGCCTTTTTGTTTTCTTGCTCGCATCCTCCTTCATTTGCTCTCTTTTCCTGGTTTTTCTCCACCCCGCTCCATTTCATTCTGGTGAGCACCCCTCAGCTCCCAGTCCAGCCTGCTTCCATCCCCTCCTTGCCCATTACTGCTCTCTGCTCATAGTGATCAGCAGGTAGTTAGTTGCTGGTGAGGATTTGAACCTGATCTAGCGAGCAGGAGACAGATCCAAGCGTTCCAACCTGCGACTGGCTCCTGCAGGCAGCCCGTGGGCTTCCAGGCAGTCACTGCTGCACGGCTGCTCCTGCAGCATGGAGTCAGTGTACTTGGACATGAGACTTAGCTTCAGGAAAACCCAGGTTTCACACGCGGCCCATGCGAGGACATCATGGGGACTGTATGTTTGACACCCCTGGTTTAGAACACGTTACCCATCACGCACTAACTACAGTTCAGTACTGTAAAGATGATTAACATTTTGTTTGTGTTTGTATTTTCCCTGACTTAAAGATAATTCAGTAGTATTTGAATAGTGCATAACCTACCTGTTAATTATGCCAATGTTTCTGCTTTGATGTGCATGAGGTTTCTGAGAACAGGAAACATTTCACCTAAGTATTGTGGACCCGGGAGCATTCTAGTGCTCTATTCCTAACTGGGTTGTAGGTTGTAGGGCCTTTTCTGTTCCATTCTAAGGTTAATTTCTTTTCCAGTGTAATGAAGCACGTCTTATTGTTATGCAACAAACTTACCACAGAAAGTCACTTTTAGTGTTGGTCCCACCATTTTTTTTTAATGCAGTATATTCACCTGTAAATAGTTTTTTGTGTAAAATTTGACAGAAAGGTATATTTACTACACTGTAAATACATGTGACAATATATTGTATTATTTTGCTTTTTTTGTAAAGCAGTTAGTTGCTGTATATGTATAACATACAAATTTGATTATTCTAGTGTTAGTAACTGGTAACTACTACTACTCCTTCCTGCTGTTGCGTTATGTCATTTAAAAAGAGATGCTGTGTACTATAAACTCACACTGTGTATGATACCTTACTAGTTCCAGTTGGGCCTCAGCTTTGAACCCGTTTCCTTGATCCACAATCCTGTTGCTATTGTAAGCAAGAGTGCGACAGCTGGCAAGAGCCCGGCCAACTCAAAACGCCAGTGGTAACTGTAGGTGAAAGGGTAGAAGGCTGGGTTCAGGTAACTCTTGTTCACCCCGTTTCCCCTCATGTATGTACTTCCCCTTTTTTTTGAAGTAAAATGTAAATTCAACCTGCTTCAAGTTGTTTGGAGGTCATTCGCTGGTGCTGCGCGGTGCAGTCTGCAGTCCCTTCTCTGTGACAGTGAGATTCGGATGGGTCGCTGGGGTCTGCATTGCCACAGGTGTGGGATCAGCCCTAATCCCAGGCCTCAAACCCCTCTCTTTCTGGGGAAAATGAGGATCCAGTTGAACTCCTGGGATTTGTCTTTCCAGCATGGTGCTGCTCTGTGTGGGTCATCTTGCACAGCTCTAAATAATGGCAAAACCGATTGCCTGAGGATAACCGAGGACAGGATTTGGACAGAATAAAGCCCACTGTCATGAATTTCATGTCACTTCAATAAGATTATCATAATTGAATAATAAATCAGAATATTTCTTTTTAAATTGTAAATTTAATATTTTAATAAAGCAGCTGCTTGGTCTTTAAAGAACATTTCAGTATAATTTGTCTATTTGAGCTTTTCTAGCTTAGAAGCTTGAAGTTTCAACTGTCAGGCAACTTTTATGACAAATAATTAATCAAATCTATTTTTCTTTCAAGGGAATATATTACTTTCCTATTAAAAATGTATAAGTACTTATATTCTGGCTTTGTGAATCATAAAAGGATGTAAAAACACATTAAAGCTCGACTGCATTGACTACTTCTGAGACATCTTGTTCCTGTACACTGAACAGACCCCTAGGCCCACTGAGCTGCAGACAGACAGACATTGTGCACAGGCCTGGTAACTCACTGCAGTGCTCCTGTGCTGTAGGGAGTGCATGACTGGAGAAGCTTCTGCATGGTTCAATGGCAGGAGCACATTTTCTTTCCTTTAGAGGAAACGTTCATTAACCCTAAAGCAGAAGCAGCACTGCAAGGAGTGGGGAGCCACCCAGGAGAGATTTCCTCAACAACACTGCTGCTAAAACCACTTCTTAAGTACCTCTCTGGACAGCTGAGCTTCCCTGCTCCTTGAGATCACAAAACACACTCCAGGCATGGTGAGGGAATGAAAGGAGGAAGAGCTTTATTTTAGTTATGTCTTTAAAAGGTTAGAAAGTCTATTTAGGGAAGAACTTGGAGCAAGCAGTTCTGTCTTAGGAAACAGCTTCCAAATCCCTGCCCAGTTGCTGCCAGTGCTGCTAAAATACTTCACAAAGCAAAAAGATAAAGTAAAAATACACAACTTTCTTATGTGGGGGCATAAATTCTGCTTTTGAGTTAAGTCGGGCAAAACTACAAGGAGGAAGAGAAAGGAAGTTGTTATTCAGGGGCAATAAGACTGACCCACAGTGTGAGTGGCCGATGATGAAGTATTCAGCTGTCTCACTGGCATAAGTATTTCCAAAAGCCTCTAACTTGGAATAACAAGTCTCCACAACATTCCTGTTAACACATGAAAATACATATGCATTTTCTAATCTGTTACAATTTAAAATACATGACTCTATAACCCAGAAGTTTCATACTAAGTTTTTTGTTCCCTTAAGAGAAGACTTTCTCAAGTAGGCTGAAAAAGTGCAAACATGCACAAACATTAAGAGCCCTTTCCCAAGGCTGGTGAGATGCTGCCACTACAGGGAACGGTGGTGCTAATCTCATGATGAATGTGATGCCTCTGACTGCCAGCAGCCCTGATCCTGTCAGGGATGAGGTGAGCCTCACCTTGGGCTGCCTCACAACTGCGAGACGCCAGTCTCAGGGAACGAATCAGGTGCGCAGGGGAGCAGCGGTCCCGTCCGTTGCAGTGAGCTGTTGTGAGGGTGGGCAGAGAGGAGCCTCCTGTTCCTGCTGCAGCTGCTCTGGAGCTACCTGTGAAGGTGACAAACACTGCTGTGGGTTAACTGTGCTACAGCCACACAAACAGCCATAGGCGGGACTTGATGATCTTAAAGGTCTTTTCCAGCCTACTTGAGTATCTGATTCTATGGGGTTAGATGTGGGCCCTTGCATCCTACCACAAGATTAACTTCTACTGCTACTTGAATGTCTACTTCAGCCATTGTCTACTGCATTTTCTTACCCTCCCCTTAGGCCCATCTGTATAGGAACGATGTAGACTAACACCCAACCTAAATAGATACAACAAGGTAAGTCTCTGGGTGTCACAGAATTAAAGCCAACCCCTTGCAGCCACAAATTGTGCTACTGGCTGTTCCAGTTCAAAGCGAGGATGGCCTTTTCCCACTGCTACAGTTCACGATTTATAGGTGTGACTCCTTTGTGTCTTGGAACATCAGTTTCTTCACTTGATGGCTGCCGTGTTTAACAAGCTCTCAAATGAAAACAAATCCCAGGGTTGTGTGGGTGGGGAGTGCAGAAGAGCATCTCCCATGGTGTGACTTGTTAAAACAAGTACGGGTTTGTTCATCAAAGCAGCAATGAAAAGAGTCCGATGATGCATCTTCAGGGATATTGAAATGATAGTGCTATAAATAGCTGTGAGTAACTAACTGCATGTTCCAGAAATCCCCACTGAACTATTACATTGCAGTTTAATTTTTTCTCATAGCATCCTGAACTTTGGAAGAACTAGAAATGTCTGTTCTGCTGCTTCTCCCCCCGTCAGTGTGCGGAGAGACACATTCCCTTTCCACCAAATTAATATCTATGAAGTTCCTCCACTGTGCTCCCCAGCTCCTTGCACTATCAGCCAAGGTTTTTTCCCCTTCCTTAGTGATTCTCGTTCCCCTTACTAAGTGGAGCTCACTGTGATACAGCCCTTGTCATTTCCAGTGGCCTGGAGTGCATTTAGGGCAGCATCAGTCAAGAAAGCAGGTTTTCAACAGCAGCACATGCAAAATGCTCTGTGTAGCATGAGAGAGACGCACAAAACTGTCTATAAACGGGCATGACTGAACATGGGCCAGAGACAGTGGCTCTGAGACAAAGAAGAGGCTGGTTCAGAGCAATACAAAACATACAAAGGCTTAAAGGCCCCACCATGCAAACACACGCGAGGCCATTGGGGTGCTGGAGGCACTGCAAAATGAAGGAAGGAATTTCTGCATTTGCCCAGAACAGTTGGCATCCAAGCCTCTGTGCAGTAGGGATCAAAGAGCAAAGTGTGCTGTATGTTAACAACTCACGTGAAGAGATGCTCAGGGAGAAGAAGAGGCCTCCACAGGCTTTGTGTGCTCTGCCCTTTCCAAGCCTGCACTTGTTCTCCAGGGCTGACTCCCCCTCCAGCCAGGCCCATCCTTGTTTTTAACTCCTGATCTCACACAGTTCCTGAAAGAGAGAAAAATTACTGCTCAAATCCCCTGCAAAGCAATTGGGCAAGTACACCTCTGCTGGCCTCAGTCTGCCAGCTCTGTTTGAGATGTTAATGGCTACACCTCCAATTTATAACAAAGAAGAATAAATTGGCCTCGAGGATGCCGACATACCTTACCTGTTCTTTTCTCAATTTCAGTAATCCTTTTACTTTGTAGGGTGCCAATTTGCCTTGCTGGGAACATGTATTTGCTTTTTAAATGACCATGAAAATTGAACTAGCAGGTTAGAAAGCTGTTCCTCACTCAGGCAAACTTCAGACCCATGAACTGCTTCTGTAAGAACACAACTTGTCAGACCTGGAAGCAGCCTTTGTTTTATTTGACATCCCTGTCATTTTATTAGTACTCAACAGAATGTATTTTTCTTTCCACTTTAGTAAAGCTTATGGCCTTTGAGTGCTCCAAGAGCTTGGCTGTGCACTGCACACAGAGCATGACAGCAGGTTTGTCCCAAGAGCTTCAAATGTTGATGGTCACCCTGTGTCTGACACAGGCCGCCCCCGTGATCTTGGTCAGATCCAACACCCTACAGTCAGGAGCCACCAACACCCCAGCTGCCCGACTGTAACAGTCAAGTATGGCTGTCAGGAGAATTCCTGCCAGAAACTTCTGAGCTCTTCATTTTAAAGACATTAAATGGGCAAAGTCTGAGCATTGTGTTTTTTCTGCTTCACACGTGGCATAATTTCTGGTCTTTAAGCAGGATTTATTAGTAATTTCTGCCTGCTCTAAACAAAAATGTTGAGGCAAATCAGGAGCTTTTCATAGAGAAATACCTCCACAAATTACAGATTCTGGAAGGCCAATCCTGCTCAAACATGACTGTGGTTTTCTTAAGTTACTCATTGACACTCTCTAACGTGATGCTTGCTGCATACATGTGTAAATAAACAACTGAGTGGGTTTAACTGCAGGCAGGCTGGTGAGCTAACCCAATGAAAGCCCAAGCTAACCCAAAGGTTTTCATGCTGCACTCTGGCTCAGGCTCTGCAGCTCCAATCCTGCACTGCATGCTGTACCTGCCGCCTCATGCACTTGCTTACTAACGCGTTTTGTCACCAGCAAAGCATTCATAGCATGTCTAAAGCTTTGTATAAGACAGGCTCACCTCTGTTTACTTCTCTGAACAGCAAGGGTGAAGACAGCAGCGTCTAGCTGTGTAAGGAGACAATCAAGTGCTTTGGCTCTGGGGCAGAGATGAGCTTCATAATCCCAGCAGAGAACAGGGCTGAGCAGCTGGAGTGGGTGAGGGTGCTCAGACGCAGCCTCTAAGAACTGTGAGAGGAAACAGCCTTTGAAGAGATGACTCAGGTGCCCAAGGCCTGGCCGATGCACAGCACACAGCAGGTCCTGCCAGTGAGAGGAGGCAGCTCCGCACCTCGAAGGAACGCCGGGGCAAAGCTCCCCAACGGGCGGGCTGGGGGCAGGAAGCGCTCCCCACATCCCGGGGCTGGAGGGGGCTCCCGCGGGCCGCGCTACGCCAGCAGCGGGGAACCCTCCATTACCGCGCTCCCGGGCGGAGGGTGAGGGACACCAGAGCTGAGCGGGCCGCAGCGGCTCCGCTCCGCTCGCCTCATGAAGAGCGGGCGCGCGCTCCCCACCAAATGCAGCGCGGAGGGAGCGAGGGATGGGGGCGGCCAGAGCCCTCCCCGGGGCACGGAACAAGAAGAACGGACACGAACCGGACCCATTGCCGCGCTGTTTGCCTGAGGTACCGACCTCCGGGGCAACGGGGAGTGCAGAGGGCGCATGCGCAGCGTCTGAGGAGACGGGGTCTCGCGAGAGCGCTGCCTCTCGCGAGAGGGGCGTGCCGGGCGGGAGGGGCGGTGGGAGCCGCTGCAAGTCCGAGCCCGGCGGCCCGGGCGGGCTGCACGTGAGCGCGGCGGCGGCACCGGCACGGGCACCGGGAGCTGCTGCGGCACCGGGAGCTGCTCCGGGCCCCGGCGCGGGGAGCGCGGCGCCGCGCCGGACAGGCCGTGAGTACCGCGGCGGGGCGCTGCCAGGCCTCGCAGGCAGCGGCGGGAAGCGGGCCGCGGGCTGTCACCGGCAACGCTCGGTGTGGGGCTGAGGGACTGAGGTGGCTGAGGTGCTGCCGCGCTGCCGCCGCGTTGTCAGCCCCGTGGGCCGCTGCTCCTCAGGCCCCTGCACGGTCCCGCCACGTCCAAGGTCAGCGGCGCCGCGGTCCGGCCCTCAGGTCACCCCCGGCGGGAGGGGGGCTCCTCGGGACCGGCGGGCTGAGGGCCGGGCTGCGGCGGGAAAGGGCCCTCAGGGTGCCGGCAGCTGAGGGGTGCTGTGCGCCGGGGCGGTGCAGCAGGCAGAGGGGTGCCAAGGCCTCCTCAGTGACCTGTGGTGGTTTGGGGGTCTCTGAGTGGTTTGACGT